TAAAATCAAAACAATAAATAATTGAGGCAATGATTTAAAGCTCGCAACAAGCAAAAACACAGAAAAGACAATCAAAACTATATAGAGTTAATTCTAAGCATCTTTATATATTAAAATACCATGAACTGAAATATGCTACAATACTCCCTCATTTCTTATTAATTTTAATGAGACTGCTACATAATATTCTAATATTAAGATGCTATTATTCTTTATTATTTAATCATATTAATCTTTTGATATGTTTAGGAACTTATAAAAAGCTATCCAATCACTTAATCAGTTAAATGATTCACATCTTATACTAATCAATATCATTCTACTTTTGCAGCAAAAATTGAGTTTGATAATGCCTTTAAAATATCTGAAAGGAAATTAAAAGGCATTTAATAAATAATTTCAGATGGAGATATTAAATTAAGCAAAAAAATTAAAGTTATAAGCATTAATCAATAGATCAATTATTAATGTAGAACTAATTAGAATAAAACTTTAGTTATGGTGAAGAATGAATCCTTAAATGTATCTATTTTACATTCGAGTTTCTTTGTTAATTTGAATATACTTAGAAAAGAAGAGTTTATATAATATTAAATTATGTAAATATTTTCATTAGGATCTTCTATTGTTTCAAAGATATTTGTATCTAATAATTAAGTTTATGCCTATTCTTTATAGAACATCTGGGAATGAAAATAGAATTATTTTCAAATAGGTTTTCAGAATACTTAAATACTTTATAGAAATTCTGTATTAGAATGTAATAAATCTATAACTCTTGGAATCCTATTTTATTTTCGAGAACCTGGAATGATTATAGAATTTCAATATTGGCTATCTAAATAATTTATAAAAATTAAGGGGTTGTTTATTGGTCAAAAATTATTTTAGGATTTATATTTTTTTCTTAGAACCTTAAATTTTGTAATTATATTTGTTCAAATTTCCCAAAGTCTCAAATGTGTAGAGTAGATTCTGTCTCTTTATATAGTATTTCAAATACTATCCTACTGCTTCTGTTATTTTTATACGGCATACTTCATTGTAATTTATTCATGATAACAATGAAATGTTTCTATCATTTTGGGAGGAATGTGATGAGAACAGTACTTCAACTTCCTGCACAACTTTTTTTTATTATAAATAGCCAATTTTCAATTAATGTAGAAGTTTGTAAGTTTTTTGATAACAAACCTAAGATTGTTAATCAACCCTGTAATTCTTCCCAAAATTTTTTACTATTTTTAAGTTAAATTATCTATGCCGAAAATTCTTTAGAATTCAATAATTTTACTGATAAAATAATAACCATCCTCTTCCTTCAATTTTTTTCATTAATTACCATTTTATCGCCATTGTTAGTCTTCATCTTATATCAGATTTAAATAATTCATTATAATTTAACTTAACAATGAAAAATATAGAGCGATTTTAGATTTTAACAAAATACTTGTATGATTAATGATATAAAAAATAATTATCTAAATTATTAACATCTAAGATATGATCATATTTCATATACTTTTGTTTTCTTTAAATTTACTGAAAAAACTTGATTTTCTGTTAGTTTAAGCTTACGCAATTTATTTTTACTAGATTATTAATAATGCAAAGATTAATTGCTACATGTTGTTTGAATAATTAAGGCCCAAATCATTAAAATAAGTTTTTTCATAAAATACTGGGTTTTTTTCTTTGATTTTCATCTGCAGTGAAACACATCTTTTAAGTTTAATCCATAATCTAACAATCTATTAGATGAAAAAATTGTAAAAGATTGATTATCAAATTAATTATTTTTCCAATTCTCATATCCAAAAATTACTAAAATAGTCATAGGTTTAGTGATTTTTTTTAATTTTTTAGTAAATTTATTTAAATAAGTTAAGAAATAATTAGAATTAAAAAAAAAAGTGCGATATTAATTAATTAAGTTAATTTTAATATAATTTCCATAAATATTTACAAAAAAAACCACAAAATTTCTTGAATACACCTCAAAATCTTGAATTTCATCTTATTATAATTAACTTCTTTTATCTATGAAGTAATTTATGGCTTTAGGATAAATTTATTACAAACCTCTATAAATTTATACAAAATTTTTCAAATAAAAAAGAAAAATAACTGATGCCCCAATATGAATCTTCTAATTAAAAATTATTATCTATTTTTTATAATTTAGTTATTCTTTGAGATGAATTTCTATAGAGAAACTACATCTGCTGATACCCTTTCAGTTGGTTCGAAAATATAATATTTTAATCATCATATAGTATTTTTTACTATAGAACATATTAAATACTTTGTTTAGGAAGAAATTTATTCTGTATTTTTTTTATTAATCTTATATTCCTAACTCATCATTTGAATAACAAATATATTTTATTTTTCTTTAAACCATTTTTTAGATGAAAGTATAGGTTAATCCATCATTGTCATATTTACGATATTACAGAATATTCTAGAAATATACATATTGATTATTACCTTAAAGCTGAAATTTCCTTTCTGAAATCTTTTCGACTCTTTTCTAATAATGAGCCCTTTCTTATTAGTATTTTAAGCACTTCTTCATTTTAGAAACCTTACAAATAAATGCAGAGCTAGAATAAAAATTTGATTTTATAAAAAAGAGATTTATTTATTAGTCTATTGGAGCAATTAATTCTGAATTCTAAGATTTTTTTGGAAATAAAATTTGTATTCTTGATTTTTCTTCAAATAAGATATTGATTTTGGTTTACTTATTAATGAAAATCCGATAAATCACATTTAAAGAATTTTCTAATAAATCTATTCAAATTGATATCATCCTTATCTTTTATTAATTAGTAAATTCCATTTGCAACCCCAGCTATTCATTAGAGTAAACAATTACCACTATTTTTCCAAATACCTATCGTATAAATACAAGTTTAGATACTAATTGAAAAACCTTCCCATCTTAATTTTCATCGTAAATGCCTTATTCCAGTGCTTTAAATATATCAATTCCCCATAAATTGGCTATCATTTCATTTCATAATTTAAAGTTTTTAATAATATATTTGTGATTAATAAATCGCCAAATGAAATTACATTAACTGTTAATGAATATGAAACGCCACAATAGTGGTAGTTTCAATTATGAAAACTTGTCAAAATTCATCAGAAAGTTTCACTATTTAATCAAATTATAATAGAAATATTTGAATCTAATTAAAAATAATAGAAATTAGACATTATAATACTTACATAAAGAAGATGATATAGAAAGACGAGTAAGAATAGAGATAATAATGTAAAATTACAAAAAGAAGCCAAATTATTGATGAAGTCAAATAAAAAAAAACTGAAGTGATTGATAAGGATTTATTAAAATGTAACAATATTTAAAGTTAAACAATTATTTGATGAAAGAAATTATGAAGAAGCCCTTTTAGAGATAGAAGAAAAAATCAAGCAGAATGAACTTCTCAAGGAAAATAAGAAGAATAATGATGAATTATTAATGCATAAATGTAGAAATTTATTTCAACTACAAAAGCAATTGTTTTAATATAATTAGATAAATATGATGAGTTTCTGGAATGTATTAATCAAGCAATTACTTTAAATCCAAAAAATGAAAAGCTTCTTTATCACAAAGGTATAATTTATCCACAAATTATTTAAGGGATAACGTTAGTGAAGTTAGATTAATATTAATAGGCTTTTTAATGTTTTGATGAAGCAATAAAAATCAATCCTGATAATTAAGCATCTCTAATTTACCTAGGTAAAGAAGTTTATTATTTCAATATAGGGATAACACTAGAAGGTATATATAATTATAATGGGGCTTACAAATGTTATAATGAAGCTTAGAAGTATGATCAGAATTTTTAGTTATTAAATATTCTGAAAGGTATTATTCAATTCAATTGTAATTTTAGCTTCAACATTATTTTCAATCTAACAATACAAATAGAAGTAATAGGTAGAAAATATGATGAAGCTATTGAATTGTGTGATAAACCATTTTCGAATACTGATTTGGATAAATTTGCTTATACTACCAAAGGTATCATAGATTAAAGTAAATTTAAGGAAGGGCATTACTGATGAAACTTAGATACGAAGAAGTTATTAAAATTTGTGATAAAGTAATACAAATAGATGAAACTTTAGCTGAAGCCTATGATATCAAAGGTAAGATTAATTATAAATTTATTTCCTTTTTGGAAGGATCTTAGCAAGTTTATTGAGGCCTGAGGAAGCGATTTAATAATGCCAAAAAGCCATTCAATTAGATTCGAAAAATTATGTACCTTATTCTACCATAGGTAAATAATTATTGAAGGTTAATTTAGCTGGCGCACTAATTTAATTACGCCGCGAAGAAGAGGCAATTGAATATTGTGAAATGTCACTTAAGATTAACCCAAGAGGCGATATAGCTCTTGGCAATAAGGGTATCACTAAACTATATAATTAAGGAATTGCATTATTTGATTTAAATAGGTTTGAAGAAGCTGTTGAGTGTTTTGACTAGGCCCTTTCTATAAGATAGAATCATCCTATAATAAATTTACTAATGGGTATACTTTATTTTGAATAATCATTTAGGAACTGCTTTAGCGGAAAATAATATGTATATACCCATATTCAATTTAGAAATGGAAGAATGAAGAGGCCATTGAGACTTTTGACTAATTAATTTCATTAGAGCCAAATAATTATTAAGCATTTTATCAAAAAGGTAAATGTGTATTTTACAATTTTAGGAAGGTCTCTAATTAATTCAGGTGGATTTGTGGAGGCAATTGTATCTTTAAATAAAGCCCTTAAACTCAATTCAAATGTTTTTTCAATTTGGAATTCTAAGGGTATATTAAATTTGACTAAAAAATTAGGAAGATTGCTATTGAATATGAATAGATACGAAGAGGCTATTCTATGTTTTAAAACTTTATTTTAATTAAACTCAAATGATAATGTAGCTATTGAATAGATTAGTAAAATTTATAATCTTAAATTTTAGGAGAGACATTAGAGAGTTTAAATAGAATTGAAGAAGCCATTGCTTTCATTTCTTAAGCTGTAATAAATAATCCGCAATCTCATGTTTCAAAATTTTAGATGGGTATATTTTAAATCTTATAATTAAAGCAAAAACTTTATTAAGAATCGGGAGCTTTGAAGAAGCCTTGATTTTTTCACAATAAGCCTTAAGTATGTAACCTTAGAATCAATAGTATTTACAGCTTTATTGTAATTATTTATATAATCTTTAGGCAAAGTTGTATTTATGTAGTAATTGTCAAAAGGATGTTTGGAATAAAATGAATAAGGGAATTGCATATTATTGGAAAATATTATAATACAAAAAAAAACAAATATTTCTAAAAAATTATTATTGTTACATCTTTATAGAAATGTCTATTAAAAATATATGAATAGTATTCCTAATGTTGACTTAATAATAAAATTATTAAAACAAAAAATATATTTATTTAATTAATAATAATATTAAGATTGATTTGAGAGCATTTATATGCTGAAAATAACTTTTGATTATCAACTATCATTACTATACATTAAGAGTTGAAATCAATTTAAATTATTGATAAACAAATTATGATATAGCCGAAATCAATCACAACCCTCAAAATGTTTTATTTTTAGTTTAGAATTTTGTTGTTGTTAAATAGTTTTAAATTATAAATAATATCAATTTCAACATAATTTAGAATATATTTTGTTGTCAATTTGTAAAATTTTATAAGGTAATTTTTAATTGTATTTTTGATATAGAATCAATTAATTATTTATAACCTAATTTTTCAAATAATGTATATGATTATTTCCTTATCGTTCAAAAAAATTAAAGGATTCATATACTATGTGAGTATATAAAAATTTTTATATAATTTATGAGTATTACAGACCTTAGTAGATAGAATGTTCTGATATTAAATACAGCTTAAGATCANAATACAAATAGAAGTAATAGGTAGAAAATATGATGAAGCTATTGAATTGTGTGATAAACCATTTTCGAATACTGATTTGGATAAATTTGCTTATACTACCAAAGGTATCATAGATTAAAGTAAATTTAAGGAAGGGCATTACTGATGAAACTTAGATACGAAGAAGTTATTAAAATTTGTGATAAAGTAATACAAATAGATGAAACTTTAGCTGAAGCCTATGATATCAAAGGTAAGATTAATTATAAATTTATTTCCTTTTTGGAAGGATCTTAGCAAGTTTATTGAGGCCTGAGGAAGCGATTTAATAATGCCAAAAAGCCATTCAATTAGATTCGAAAAATTATGTACCTTATTCTACCATAGGTAAATAATTATTGAAGGTTAATTTAGCTGGCGCACTAATTTAATTACGCCGCGAAGAAGAGGCAATTGAATATTGTGAAATGTCACTTAAGATTAACCCAAGAGGCGATATAGCTCTTGGCAATAAGGGTATCACTAAACTATATAATTAAGGAATTGCATTATTTGATTTAAATAGGTTTGAAGAAGCTGTTGAGTGTTTTGACTAGGCCCTTTCTATAAGATAGAATCATCCTATAATAAATTTACTAATGGGTATACTTTATTTTGAATAATCATTTAGGAACTGCTTTAGCGGAAAATAATATGTATATACCCATATTCAATTTAGAAATGGAAGAATGAAGAGGCCATTGAGACTTTTGACTAATTAATTTCATTAGAGCCAAATAATTATTAAGCATTTTATCAAAAAGGTAAATGTGTATTTTACAATTTTAGGAAGGTCTCTAATTAATTCAGGTGGATTTGTGGAGGCAATTGTATCTTTAAATAAAGCCCTTAAACTCAATTCAAATGTTTTTTCAATTTGGAATTCTAAGGGTATATTAAATTTGACTAAAAAATTAGGAAGATTGCTATTGAATATGAATAGATACGAAGAGGCTATTCTATGTTTTAAAACTTTATTTTAATTAAACTCAAATGATAATGTAGCTATTGAATAGATTAGTAAAATTTATAATCTTAAATTTTAGGAGAGACATTAGAGAGTTTAAATAGAATTGAAGAAGCCATTGCTTTCATTTCTTAAGCTGTAATAAATAATCCGCAATCTCATGTTTCAAAATTTTAGATGGGTATATTTTAAATCTTATAATTAAAGCAAAAACTTTATTAAGAATCGGGAGCTTTGAAGAAGCCTTGATTTTTTCACAATAAGCCTTAAGTATGTAACCTTAGAATCAATAGTATTTACAGCTTTATTGTAATTATTTATATAATCTTTAGGCAAAGTTGTATTTATGTAGTAATTGTCAAAAGGATGTTTGGAATAAAATGAATAAGGGAATTGCATATTATTGGAAAATATTATAATACAAAAAAAAACAAATATTTCTAAAAAATTATTATTGTTACATCTTTATAGAAATGTCTATTAAAAATATATGAATAGTATTCCTAATGTTGACTTAATAATAAAATTATTAAAACAAAAAATATATTTATTTAATTAATAATAATATTAAGATTGATTTGAGAGCATTTATATGCTGAAAATAACTTTTGATTATCAACTATCATTACTATACATTAAGAGTTGAAATCAATTTAAATTATTGATAAACAAATTATGATATAGCCGAAATCAATCACAACCCTCAAAATGTTTTATTTTTAGTTTAGAATTTTGTTGTTGTTAAATAGTTTTAAATTATAAATAATATCAATTTCAACATAATTTAGAATATATTTTGTTGTCAATTTGTAAAATTTTATAAGGTAATTTTTAATTGTATTTTTGATATAGAATCAATTAATTATTTATAACCTAATTTTTCAAATAATGTATATGATTATTTCCTTATCGTTCAAAAAAATTAAAGGATTCATATACTATGTGAGTATATAAAAATTTTTATATAATTTATGAGTATTACAGACCTTAGTAGATAGAATGTTCTGATATTAAATACAGCTTAAGATCACAAAATACTAACTTGAGATATAGAAAATCATTTGAAGAAATTCTTTGGCCATAGAGATCTTGGGGTATCAATCTAGTAATTCTTTGTGGCAAACTTTCTTTTGGCTTCATCACTTTTGGAGACTAAATTCTTTGATAATTTAGTCGAATAAATTCGCTTTCTTCAATTATTAATGTTTTTCACTTCGCCATTCATAACAATGCTAAACTTCTCTTTAACCAAAAAATTTACATACCAAAAAGTTTTCAATTATTCCCAAATCATAACTAATTATATTTTTTTAATTAATTTTTAATCTAGTATATTTTGATATGAGGGAAGAAGGCTATTCATTTTCAAATATTTTGTTCAATCAATTTTATATCTAAAAATAAATAACCTGCCATCTGGATTATACAATTTAAATAAAAAATTTTTGATTTAATATCAGAATATATATTATTTTTCAAATTCTATTAGAATAGATATGCTTAAATATAATCAATTTGAGATTATAGCACTGCTTATTTTAGAAAATTAAAAAGAGAAAGTGAATGATAGCAATTCTCCTTAAGAAAAAATTAATTATGGTATTTCATAAAATATTTATGATAAATATCATCAAGAAAAATATTTAAAATTAGGGATGAAAGATGGCGATATAAAAAAGGCTAAATATGTAGAGGAATTATCAATAGATGAAATCATTAATTTTTATTATTAATTGTACATCAAAAATCATGTTGAAAAAATAGAAGATCCAAATACAGCCTATTTGTATTTTGATACATTAGTGAATTTAGGAACTAAAAACTCAACCCTTTTTCTATAGAAAGTTTGCAAGACAAAAAAAGATGGAGTTATTGGGAGGAAAATAATTTAAATGGTGAACAGCATGAATTAAAAAGATCTACAAAATGAACTTATTTAAGAAAGAATTCAATTTTTAAAGGATGCTATAAATAAAAATCCTTAAAAGTAAAGATATTATGAAAATTGGATTTCAAATCTGGATTAATTAAAGGAATAGATTGACAAAGGACTAATACCTGAAAACGAATAAGAATAATCTGAAGGCTAATCAGAATTATAAAAAAATGTGTTGTAATACAGAGAAGAAATAGAATTCGAAAAAAAGATTAGAGGAATTAATTTCCGTTCAATGAAATTCCTAATAGATGTTTAAGAAGATATACATTTGACCGATTTAGCGACAGCATTATTAGTTTTAAGTGATCCAAATTTATCAAAGGAAGAAAAGATAATCAAATTTAATTTAGTTCCTGTTCTTTCTCTAAACAAAGAGGCTGTGTCTTAATAAGAAAAACTTTATTGGCCTGATGAATTTGTAAAGAGAAATCTAATCTAAGATACTGAATTTGCAAGAGTGATGTTTGAAAGTAGTCATTTATTGCAATAAATAAGTTTGGGAATTTCTGCAGATGGCAAAACTCCTTTTAAATATCCAAAAGAATTAGAATTATGCGGATTGAAATCATATTACAATTTTGGTAAAATGAATGGGTCTTAGAATCTATATAAATTTATGCTATATCCATATAAATGTGTTTATANAAATTATAAATAATATCAATTTCAACATAATTTAGAATATATTTTGTTGTCAATTTGTAAAATTTTATAAGGTAATTTTTAATTGTATTTTTGATATAGAATCAATTAATTATTTATAACCTAATTTTTCAAATAATGTATATGATTATTTCCTTATCGTTCAAAAAAATTAAAGGATTCATATACTATGTGAGTATATAAAAATTTTTATATAATTTATGAGTATTACAGACCTTAGTAGATAGAATGTTCTGATATTAAATACAGCTTAAGATCACAAAATACTAACTTGAGATATAGAAAATCATTTGAAGAAATTCTTTGGCCATAGAGATCTTGGGGTATCAATCTAGTAATTCTTTGTGGCAAACTTTCTTTTGGCTTCATCACTTTTGGAGACTAAATTCTTTGATAATTTAGTCGAATAAATTCGCTTTCTTCAATTATTAATGTTTTTCACTTCGCCATTCATAACAATGCTAAACTTCTCTTTAACCAAAAAATTTACATACCAAAAAGTTTTCAATTATTCCCAAATCATAACTAATTATATTTTTTTAATTAATTTTTAATCTAGTATATTTTGATATGAGGGAAGAAGGCTATTCATTTTCAAATATTTTGTTCAATCAATTTTATATCTAAAAATAAATAACCTGCCATCTGGATTATACAATTTAAATAAAAAATTTTTGATTTAATATCAGAATATATATTATTTTTCAAATTCTATTAGAATAGATATGCTTAAATATAATCAATTTGAGATTATAGCACTGCTTATTTTAGAAAATTAAAAAGAGAAAGTGAATGATAGCAATTCTCCTTAAGAAAAAATTAATTATGGTATTTCATAAAATATTTATGATAAATATCATCAAGAAAAATATTTAAAATTAGGGATGAAAGATGGCGATATAAAAAAGGCTAAATATGTAGAGGAATTATCAATAGATGAAATCATTAATTTTTATTATTAATTGTACATCAAAAATCATGTTGAAAAAATAGAAGATCCAAATACAGCCTATTTGTATTTTGATACATTAGTGAATTTAGGAACTAAAAACTCAACCCTTTTTCTATAGAAAGTTTGCAAGACAAAAAAAGATGGAGTTATTGGGAGGAAAATAATTTAAATGGTGAACAGCATGAATTAAAAAGATCTACAAAATGAACTTATTTAAGAAAGAATTCAATTTTTAAAGGATGCTATAAATAAAAATCCTTAAAAGTAAAGATATTATGAAAATTGGATTTCAAATCTGGATTAATTAAAGGAATAGATTGACAAAGGACTAATACCTGAAAACGAATAAGAATAATCTGAAGGCTAATCAGAATTATAAAAAAATGTGTTGTAATACAGAGAAGAAATAGAATTCGAAAAAAAGATTAGAGGAATTAATTTCCGTTCAATGAAATTCCTAATAGATGTTTAAGAAGATATACATTTGACCGATTTAGCGACAGCATTATTAGTTTTAAGTGATCCAAATTTATCAAAGGAAGAAAAGATAATCAAATTTAATTTAGTTCCTGTTCTTTCTCTAAACAAAGAGGCTGTGTCTTAATAAGAAAAACTTTATTGGCCTGATGAATTTGTAAAGAGAAATCTAATCTAAGATACTGAATTTGCAAGAGTGATGTTTGAAAGTAGTCATTTATTGCAATAAATAAGTTTGGGAATTTCTGCAGATGGCAAAACTCCTTTTAAATATCCAAAAGAATTAGAATTATGCGGATTGAAATCATATTACAATTTTGGTAAAATGAATGGGTCTTAGAATCTATATAAATTTATGCTATATCCATATAAATGTGTTTATAGTTGTTTGGATGATGAGTTTTTAATAGAAAGTATCTAAATTAAATGTAAAGCTAAATAGTTAGAAATTATGAAATAATAAATAATTGAAAATGAGATAAAGGATAATAATGATCAAGGATTCTTATTTGCAGAAAAGTTTAGTGAGATTTATGATAAAATATCCAAATACTACCCCATTTTTAATAGATTAGAAAAATTGTTCAAAGCTGTAGTTCTGGGTAAATAAATGATAAAAATGAATGTCAAAATTGATTCAGATTTATTAAGAGTATAATCTTTAAAAAGTTATAATTTACCAAATACCATTTCAATTCTCAAATGCGAACTTTAAAAAATAAATACAATATAAAATAAATCTACAAAAGAAAAATAATTGTTACAATTTGCATTAGGAGAAGTAGATACTAATTGCTAGACTATATTAGAGGATAAAGAAATCAAAAATAAAATGAAATTCAATAATTTAACAGAAATTAATATTCCTTTCTTTATATAATAAAAATGTAGTAATTGTAATAGAATGATTGAGAGCTAATTATTAAATTTAGGTTAAAATAGTTGTTCGATCCACCATTCTGATTCTTGTTATTTATGTCTGAATTTAATTGAAGAGAAAAATTAGACTTACCATTAAATAGATGATACTGAATATTCATTTCACAAGACTTGTTTAGAAGTTTATGAAAAAGTTCAAACTAGTGAACTAGACTTTGAGTTTGAGAAGACACTCTGAAAAAATAAGAGATTGATCTAAAATAATAGAGAATTAATTTTCATCATCTTTTATAATTTCCTTTGGCATTTAATATTTATACTATATTAAAGACAAAGCTCCAAATTCTACATATAATTGATACTAGAACTCCCTTTCTCCTAATCTTAATTTTGATGTTAAAATTATATATAGACTATTAGAGTCAAAAACTTGGGTTTTTATTTACCAAAAATATCTCATATCAGGAACTCCAAATTTTCTACTAAAATTCGAAAGTGATGCTTGAGACTACTATGATAAGAGAATCATATTAATATATAATTAAGTCTAAAAATTAATAGTTTTTTTAATAAGTGATAGAAGAATATTCTTAATTTCTATTAGTTTAAAGTTTGTAGAAAAAAGAATTAAACTCTAATATTAATTTTATTGAAAATGAGTACGATATTTTAGGCATCTAATGTATAGAACTTATCACTAAGAAATTCCAAAGTTACTATTTTATCAAAAAATAAATCAGATTCATCAATCTTAATATTTGATACTGATTGCCTAGTTTTTAGAGAATATTAATTAACTTGTTTGAAAATCCAAAGTGTAGTCTGTGATCCAAATTTATAGTTTCTACTAATGTTTGAAGAATAAGAATAGGATAAATTAACTAATCTTTATTCTGCCTCATTAGAAAAATCTTTTACTCCTATAGCAAAGATAACAATTCCATCTACTAAATTTATAATGGTTGATTGGTGCAATAGTAGAATTTGTGCACTTATATTCTAAAATGACCTCATCTTATATGATATTTTTTTAAATAAAATCATCAAGAAAATATAATCCGATTTTCATTAAATTTCATAATTTACAATATCAAGGAAATTTGATTAAATCTTTTGTGAATTTTAATAAAATATTAATACTTCATTATGTTTAGTATTACCTGTTGAAAATTAGGCTGAAGTATAAAAGTTTGATAATTGTGTGGCTTGTAAATTAATGGAAGTATAAGACTAAGATTAACTTTTATTGATTCAATATAAATCTAATAATTTATTCATTTTATTAGCAAAATTTGATGATGGATTTAAAATAGAGAGAGAGATTTAGCAAAATTTATCAGATCCTCCTAAAGGTATTAGAAAAGTTGGATACCGAAAAAACAAAAAGGAAATACTCTTGATTGATTCATCTTCAAATTTGCACATTTATTCAATAAATTCTAATTACTAAATGTAGTAACAAATTAAATGTATTTCTAATATAGTTTAATTTAATGTTTCACTTTTAGATGAAAATTTAATAATGTTAGACATTAAAAATCAATTAATNTTTAATTGAAGAGAAAAATTAGACTTACCATTAAATAGATGATACTGAATATTCATTTCACAAGACTTGTTTAGAAGTTTATGAAAAAGTTCAAACTAGTGAACTAGACTTTGAGTTTGAGAAGACACTCTGAAAAAATAAGAGATTGATCTAAAATAATAGAGAATTAATTTTCATCATCTTTTATAATTTCCTTTGGCATTTAATATTTATACTATATTAAAGACAAAGCTCCAAATTCTACATATAATTGATACTAGAACTCCCTTTCTCCTAATCTTAATTTTGATGTTAAAATTATATATAGACTATTAGAGTCAAAAACTTGGGTTTTTATTTACCAAAAATATCTCATATCAGGAACTCCAAATTTTCTACTAAAATTCGAAAGTGATGCTTGAGACTACTATGATAAGAGAATCATATTAATATATAATTAAGTCTAAAAATTAATAGTTTTTTTAATAAGTGATAGAAGAATATTCTTAATTTCTATTAGTTTAAAGTTTGTAGAAAAAAGAATTAAACTCTAATATTAATTTTATTGAAAATGAGTACGATATTTTAGGCATCTAATGTATAGAACTTATCACTAAGAAATTCCAAAGTTACTATTTTATCAAAAAATAAATCAGATTCATCAATCTTAATATTTGATACTGATTGCCTAGTTTTTAGAGAATATTAATTAACTTGTTTGAAAATCCAAAGTGTAGTCTGTGATCCAAATTTATAGTTTCTACTAATGTTTGAAGAATAAGAATAGGATAAATTAACTAATCTTTATTCTGCCTCATTAGAAAAATCTTTTACTCCTATAGCAAAGATAACAATTCCATCTACTAAATTTATAATGGTTGATTGGTGCAATAGTAGAATTTGTGCACTTATATTCTAAAATGACCTCATCTTATATGATATTTTTTTAAATAAAATCATCAAGAAAATATAATCCGATTTTCATTAAATTTCATAATTTACAATATCAAGGAAATTTGATTAAATCTTTTGTGAATTTTAATAAAATATTAATACTTCATTATGTTTAGTATTACCTGTTGAAAATTAGGCTGAAGTATAAAAGTTTGATAATTGTGTGGCTTGTAAATTAATGGAAGTATAAGACTAAGATTAACTTTTATTGATTCAATATAAATCTAATAATTTATTCATTTTATTAGCAAAATTTGATGATGGATTTAAAATAGAGAGAGAGATTTAGCAAAATTTATCAGATCCTCCTAAAGGTATTAGAAAAGTTGGATACCGAAAAAACAAAAAGGAAATACTCTTGATTGATTCATCTTCAAATTTGCACATTTATTCAATAAATTCTAATTACTAAATGTAGTAACAAATTAAATGTATTTCTAATATAGTTTAATTTAATGTTTCACTTTTAGATGAAAATTTAATAATGTTAGACATTAAAAATCAATTAATTTTTGAAAATTTACCACCAGATATATCAATAAGACCTCCATATCCAGTATAATCTTTGACAATAGCTTCTCAAGTTAAGAAGAGAGCTATGTAAGGAATTTTAACTGATCAAACTAATCTGTAATCATCTGAACTGTTGATATAGTAATATCATTAAGATTTTGAGAACTTAAGCCCAAAATTTACAAGTTTAGTAATTTTAAATCCTTAGTTTCGATTTTTACCTTTAGTAGATTATAGAGTTTTAAACCTTAATTATCAATCAAATTAAAAATTCAAGGAATTAATTCCTAAGATGGAAACATATGCTGAAACTCAAAGTGTGAAGAAACATTTAATTTAATTAGAAGCTGCTCTTAATGGAGATAATCCAATTTTATGTGAAGGTAGTGCTGCTTGTGGTAAAACTTCCATAATTTAATATTTGGCTTATAAAAATAATTAACCATTAATAATAATGAATTTAAGTTCATTTACTTAAATTTCTGATTTCATAGGTAAAGTTGAAATTCTACCAGGATTTAAATTTGAATTTTAGCCTGGTCCTTTTGCTTAAGCTGTTTAGGAAGGTTTGTGGATACTATTGGATGAGGCAAATTTGGCAAGTGATTCAATACTCAGGGTTATTGAAGATGTTCTTGAACTTGGATATATTACTTTATATGGTAGTTCAATAAACTCTCATATAGATTTAGTTGATGGAACTTTAACAATAAAAAAACATTAAAATTTTAAATTATTTTTAACTTAAAATCCAGCAACTGATTAAAAATTTGCTGCTTCTAGAAATGTATTTTCTCCATCTTTGATGAGTTAATTTATTCCAATAAAATTTGAACCAATGAGTATGAATGATTTAAATTTTATAATTGATGAAATTTTAGCATAAAAAATACAAGAATTAAAAGAAGAGCCAGAAGAAAAGATATCAATATAATAATTATCCTCTTTGATTATGATGATTTATGAAGAAATAAAATTGAAAAATATGGATGATGGATTATTTACTTTAAGAGATATAGTGTAAATTATTGATTTTATTTTTGTTACTTTTTAATAAGATAAGTAGAAAATTTTTGAATTATTACCTTTAAAAGATTGCATGAAATTAATCTCAACATAATTTATTTATTTAAAAAAAAATCGTGATTTAATAAATTATTAAATAGATTAAAACAAATTTATTGCTAATACAATAGATAGATTTGATTAAACTAAAGATTAGAGAGAATAAGAAATTAGAAATTGGAATAAAACTCAATAATTAAAATTTCTCTCATTTCATGAAACATTATTTTCAATGTTAACTTTATGTTATAAAACAAAACGGGCAGCATTAGTTGTAGGATAATAATTTTGTGGAAAATTATCAAGCATTCTTCTTTGGTTAAAACTTTAGAATATCTAAAAATATGAAATATTAGAATTATCATCAAGTACAAATGCAGAAGATTTATTTGGAAAATATTAACCAACTGCAAATGGATTTGATTTCATTATAGGACCAGTCACTAGATGCTTTCATTAAGGGAAAGTTTTAATTCTAAAAAATTTTGAAGCACCTGATTGTGCCTTAACAGAATTATTAAATGGAATTTTGGAAAAGAAATTTCTTTAATTATTAGTTTAGAATGAAAAATATTAAAGACACTAAGATTTTGCTATAATTGCAATTTCATCTGATTTTGCAGAATTGGATAAAAAATTTACACCTGCTTTAAAGAGCAGATTCTTAAGTATATTCTTAGATTTTAAAGTAAATATATATGACATAATGTTATTATTTTAATTATCAAATCTACCTTGTGATATTAAATTTGTAAGTGATATTACTTCTAAATTAATAAAATAGAATGATAGTAAGATTTCAACAAATTCAGAAACATAAATTGAATAAATATAATTTAATAAGATAATAAGATTTTTAAAACCAATATAAGAAATCTAAAAATTTACCCAAACTTAATTTAATATTAATTTATAACAAAAAGTTATAGAATGTATTGATTTCTTCATTGCATTAAGTTTATAAGATAATTAATATCTTTTGAATGAAAAAACATAAGTGCCTCTTCATTATTAAGAATTATAATCAAATGATTGTAAGAAAAATAATTTTATTGTAACTTCATCAAGGAAAATAGTTACAGATATAATTGCAATAGCAGTTGCTGCTAAAATACCTTTAGTTTTGTAAGGAACAGCAGGTGTTGGAAAAACAAAAGTAATTTCTACATTTTAATAAACTTGTAAATTATTTGAATCTACTTCTTTTCATTATATAAATTTGAATTAAAATACAGACATTAATGATTTAATGGGATAATTTGTATCATCTTGTAATAAAGATAAAAAAGAATTTATATTAAAAAAAGGCCCATTATATTTAGGTATGGAGTAAGGTGGGATAGTTTTATTAGATGAAGCTAACTTATCAGATGCTAGTATACTTAATTTTTTAGCATCAGTTGCTAAGTATCCTTCGGAATTTTAAGATCCTGTTTCAAATTAAGTAATAAAGGTACATGAAAAATTTAGAATATTTTTTGCTTAAAATCCTCCATCATATAATTGTCGAACTGAACTTCCATAAACAATGGCTTCTAAAGTTATAGTTGTTGAGGTTCCAAATTATAGTTATGAAGAAGTAATTAAAATTTGTACAGAATAATAATTGCATATGTAGAAAGATTGTATAAAATAAGGTATGGAATATTTTTTAACAACATTAATACCATATCCATATGATGGTAATGAAAAACTATTGAATTTTAATGGAACATAATTTACTTTAAGATAATTCATTAGATTTAGAAATAGATTAGAGAAAACAAATTTTTCAACAAAATAACCTAATTGGGAAAATATTTTACAATTACATTAGATGATACTCTTTCCAAAAGATGCCTCTGAAGAATAAAATTTAGAAAGTAATATCAATTAAAAATAATAATCATTATTTTTTTCTATAAAGAATAATAAAGCAGAATTAGAAATATCATTTTAAATTGGGAAAAATTATAAAAAATATTAATCTGCAGAATCAAATCTCAATTCTAATTAAAGATTAGTATTATGCAAAATAGCATTTTGCTGTTATTTTAAGGAAAATATTTTAATTACTGGTAGAACATCATCAAAAACATACTTATCTTAACTATTTACATTAGTAGAGTTTTAAAATCCTTAGCCATTTGAATTAATATATATTAATTCTGAAACTGAGATTACAGATTTAATAGGGAGTATGGAATCTCATAATCAAGAATCTTATGAAAAATATTGTTAGAATTTAATTCAAAAGCTAGATGATGAAGAATAGAAAATAAATTAAAATGGAAAAAATATTGAAAGTATTTTTAAAGAATTAAAGGAAAAATATAATTAAAAAGAGTTCTTTGATCAAGTTATTAAAAATATTGGTAACCAATTTCCCTTTATTGAAAGAGGATTAACATTTAGTGCTAGATTTGGTGGTGTTGCATGTTTAAAAAATATATCAATGGCAGATTAATCTGTTATAGAAGGATTAAATGCATTATTAGAAATAGAACCACATTTTATTGTTAATGGATAAGAAATTAAATTAAATAATGAATTTTTTGTGATTGCAATATTAAATACTACTTTTGGAGGTTAATTAAGTGATGCATTATAATCAAGACTCACAAAAATAAAAATACAAGTTCCATAACTAATTAATTCCTTAAAAATATTGGATACTTCTTATTAAAACTATATTCTTAGTAAATTTTAAAAAAAGACAGAGAGTGATTAAATAATTTAGTTTATTTAGAATCTTCTTATTATAACTAAATAATTTAAAGAGGTTTACTATGAAAATATATCTGATAGAAAATTTTATTAATGGATGAGTTTTTTGGATCTGGATCTGGATGCAACTAATTTATAAAAATTAGCATTAGGATTTTAATTTACAATTTTGGATAAATATAGAGAAAATTATGAAGAAATTATAAAGGATACAGATCTTAGAGAACATTTCAAGCAAGCCGAAAATAAAATTTTTTAAAAATTAAAAGAAAAATAATTTTTTAATTCTTCAAAAATAATAGTAAACCCTTCTACTACAAAAATATTATAAAGAATATATTCAGCAATTTCAACATAATATATTCCTTGTCTTATTGGACCCCCTGGAGTTGGAAAATCTGCAATTGCATAAGAAGTTGCTTCAATAATTAAAAAGGAACACTGCAGAGTTTGTTGTTCAGATTCTTTAAGTGTTGAAGATTTATTTGGATCTTATGCACCAAAGATTGATAACAATAAAGTTGTATTCATCTTTCAAGAAGGCTATTTAGCTTAAGCATTATCTTAAAAAAGCTTAATTTTATTTGATGAAGCTAATTTAGCATCCCCTGAAGTATTAAGCACACTTCAGGCTTTATTTAATACAGATGATAAAGAGATTAGAATAAAAGATAGTAGATTAAATAAAGATAAATGCGTATTTCTATGTTCAATGAATCCATAATCATATGAAGGGAGATAAGTATTACCTTAATGTATTTAAAATTTATTATGTGATGTATATATTGAAGCATTCAGTATTGATTAAGTTTTAGATATATTTTAATAGAGGTATAAAAATGAAATAAAAAATTTATAAAATGCTGGAATTAATTTTTAATAAATTTTAGATTTACATAAAGAACTTGCTTTATTAGCATCATAAAAATAATAATCAAATTATGACTTTAATATAAGATTTTTGGAGAATCTATTATAATTATTCAGTTAATAATTTTTGGATTAGAGATAAAAATTAAGTGATGAAAGACATTAATTAGAATTAATAATTGTTTGTTTAGATATTATATATGTATAACACTTTTATTAGACAGAATTTACTAAACAAGCTTTATAAATAATTTTAGATAAGTTTGGATTAAGTGAAGATGAATGGATGAATAGAAGAGTTTTTTTAGAGTAAAATGCAAATATTATTAAAATAAGTCGATAAATAGGAAAAGATTTTAAACCTTTATTTAATTTTGCATTATAAAATTAGATACAACCTTAAATTTCAAATAATTCATTTGTAATAAATTTATAAAATTCAATTATTTTTGAAAAACTCTTTATAGCAATTCAATCTAAAAAAGTAATATTATGTTAAGGAGATGTTTCATCAGGAAAAACATCATGTATAATTAAAATAGCTAATCTTTTAAACTAAAGATTTATTTTGTTGCCAATACATTGTGATTTAGAAACTGATGATTTGCTTGGAAATTTTGCTTTAGTGAATCCTAATTATGATTATATTTAATAAGAATTAGAGAGAGTAGCTTTAAAATAAAAATCAAAATCTATTCTTAATATATAATAAAAAAAAGAAATGAATATGAAATATATAGAAGGAGTTTTAAAGATTTGTTGCAAATTTGGATATTGGTTAATTTTAGATAATATTAATTTAGCAAGAGCTGAAATAGTAGAAAGATTAAATTCTTTAGGAGAAGATACACCTCGTTTATTTATTAATGAATTTGGAGACTCAAATGCTTGTATAATTCCTCATAAGAATTTTCGTTTAATATGTTTATAAAATCCATCTAGATAAGACTCACATATATTATCCCCTGCTTTTTATAATCGATGTATTAAGATTAATTTCTAAATTGATCTTACAGATAATTATATTGATATTATTGAGATTTTAACTCGAAGTGGTTTAGGATAATAGCTTTAATTAGAAGATACTGTTATTTTAGCAAGTAATCTATTGAAGTAAATCACTTTTATCAAAGAGCAGTCTTAGTGTTAAATTAATCTAAGAAGTGTTATAAAAGCTTTTAGAATGATTCAAGAAAATGGAGTAAAATCTTATGATTAAATTATGGAAATCATTTTTGGATCAGATTTTAGAGAATGCAAAAATCATCCAGATTTTCCAATTTATGATTTTAGATCTTAAACTGAAGTTGATTCTTTTGTAGATAAGTGTACGGATACTATCTTAAATAAATTAATATCTAATTCTTTTTAAATTGTAAATTATGATTAAACTAGAAAATTATTAGATTTAAAAAATTTAAGTAAATTCTTAAAAACACTATTAGCAAAAAAAGAAATACAAAATTATTAAAATTTTATTGAAGGTATTAGTAAAGAAATTTTGTTGGTTAATTGTTAAACAGAGAATTAATATGATTTAGGATGTTATGAAATTCAAGTTAATGGAGATTTAAATATTTAATTATGTTTGGAAACTCTTAAAATATAACCTACCTTTTTGTCTTTGTACATAAAAAACAAAGAATTGTTAAAATTTATACTGAAATCAAAATGTTAATTCTAGTAATATATATTTGTAGCTGAAGCAAGATTAAATTCTGAAGGCTAATTGTTGATTTAATTTTAATAATCTAATGATATATCTTTGGTTCCTTTGATTAAATCTCTTATAGGACCATCTCATTAATTATTTTTTAAGACTTTTAAACATCTTTTATCTAAAGCCGATATTGAATGTTTATTATTACTAGATTAAAATACAGAAATTTTCTTTAACTTCAATTTAAATGATTATACATTTTCTAATACAAATTGTAAATTTAAAGATATTTCTGGAAAATTCATCGTTAACAAGGAAAATATCACAACTTAATTTTACCTAAGCTGTGATTTACATCTTGAATTAAATTATTATTTTATTAAGAAAGGTAAATTTGGTAGAATCAATGATTTAATTTCACTTAGAGGAGAAATATGTATTCCATAATAAAATATAGTATAAATGTTTTTAGATTATGGTTGTTATAGCTTAATTTCTAATATCTATATTTCTCTTAGTGAAAATTTTGTCCCATATTTAGATCTTGAGGAAAAAAAAATAAAATTATCCCTTGAGTGTGAAGAATTTATTCAAATATATAAGTTACCATTTTAGCTTAAATTCAATAAAATATTAATAGATATTCTACTAAAATAATAAATTACCATAAATGGAAATATTAATTGTTCTTTTCAGATACTTAATTAAAATATTTGTAATTTAAGAGCAATTATTCAAAAGAAAAAAATATTATTCTAATTACTTGATGGATAAAACAAAAATAATTCTTAAAAAATATTATAATAATTTCTTTTGAACTATTTTGATAAAGATAACATTTTTATGTCTAATCTTTCATAAAATAAAAATACAACTATAAAATAATTAGAAATAATTACTAATTCAATTTGTTGGAATTATTAATTAATTTTTGAATTTAATTGGATAATTAAAATTTTTAAGATTATTGATTTTTAAATAAAAACTATGGATATTTATTGTCATATTGATGAAAAAAATAAATAATTTACAATATGTTTTACAGCTGAAATTCTTAAATTCATATTTGAAATTGAGGTAGAGTTTGACTTTTTGGATTTATTTTGTTAAAATAAAAAAAAGATTTTACTAATGAAATTAATAAAAGGAAAGAATACCCCAAAGTTAAAAGAAATAATTGCTGCCTTATCAACTGACTTGGAAAAACAATTCTCAAAAATTTAAGGATTTGAAAAAGTGGAAACAATTTAATTTTAGTAAAAAAAGAGTTCTTAATAGATTTTTAATTTAAATGAATTTAAAAAATTAGGATTAGGCCTTTATAATTAATTTGAAAAGGAAGCTCATTAGATGCAATCTCATGATTATAATTCTGAAGAAGTTAAATTATAAAAAGAAAAATTTTAATCTAATTTAGAATAAAAAATAGAATAAGAATTAAAAAAAAAATAACCAGAAAATTACAATTAGGAAGAGCCAGAAAATGAAAATGAGAAACAGATTTAAGAATCAGTTATTATATGGGGTAAATAAATTAAGATGAAATTTAGAGTAGATCTATAGGATTCATGGAAAATATCTAAATTCTTATGTCTTAGTAAATGTTATTTAAAAATTATTGGTTTGAATGAAAATTTTGAGTTAAATTTAAAAGGAACAATAATATTTATAGAATTTCCTCTAGTTAAATTTAAAAATTTGTTGTCCCCAGAAAGCTCATTCAATTTAGATATAGAAAAAAAAATTTTACTACAAGATATTGATCCTATTACATTTGGTTTTGGCTTGTTTGGACTTTAATTCGAAGAAATAAAAATAATTCCAAAAGTAAATAAAATTGTCAAATTTTATTATGACATGCAAACTAATGAATTTGAAGGGGATTTGTAATGTTAGAATTTTATTAATTAATATCATCAATCTGGTTTAGAATTTTTAAACATTTAATTAATTTTTAATTAATATAGAGATAGAAGTTGTTATGCGAATTTAAAAATAAGAACAGTTTTTTTTAAGTAATAAATAGATTTTCTTTTAGAATTTTAGGACTATTTATATTAAGAACAAAAGACATAACTAAAAATAAATTCTTATGAAATAAAAAATTTTAATCTTAATTAATTCATAAACAATAGTGTAAGAATAAATATTAATGAAGAAGAAGCAAAATTTGAGGTAAATCGATTTACATTTATTTTACTATTAGAAAAGAATCAACAGTGGTAATACATTGTTCAATTACTAATTGATGAAAGTTCATGCAAAATTTTAGATTTCATAGAATTATAATAATTGAATGGTTATTTAGATTATAGGAATAATAATTGGGAATAAAGTTGTTTATCAGGAGAATGTTACATAAAAAATATTTTTTTGGGTACTTTTGATCTAAAATTGAATTAGAAAAAGAGAGGGTTTTATTGTGATTTTCAATATCATAAAGATTTTAAGTTGAGCAAATTTTTCAGATCATTTTTCAAGAAATAAATTGATCTCTATTGTTTTAGAAAAATAAATTTTGATAATCTAGAGATTGAGTTGGAATTGAATCATAATTCTACTCTATTTACCTTTTTTTATGAAGTGAAGGAATATAGTTTAACAAATTATTTAATGTTGGAAAATATTAACACTTATTTTTCTAATGAAGATGATAATGAATATCGAGAATTAATATTGAGATTTGATTTTAAGTTGTGTGATGATTTTAAGTAAAAAAACTTAAGTATAGATCTTTTAAAAGACACTTAAAATTTTGTGTCATAATTTGAGCTAGAGGAATTAGATTTACTTAAATTTTTATAAAAGTTGAATTAGTATTTTGATTTTTAGATACCTCTATATGAATATTTTTAAAATCTAAAGTTGATGTAAATGAAATGTAATTTAACATTAACAAAGAATTGTAAATTTTAAAGTCTAATTATTGAGAATTAACATATATTATCATGGAAAAATTTAATAGTTTAATTCAAATAAGTTGATCTATAATTGTAATTAGATTCATAATAAAAATTAAAATTGAATTTTGAAGTAGAGATTTTTAACATTCCATTTTCTATTTAATATGACTAATCCAATAAAGCATTTAAATTTATAATAAAAGAAACAAATCAACTAAGTGCAAAAAAAATATTTGCCTATATTGAGTAAATAAAAAAAATTTAATTCTATGAAGAGTTACTTGACGAATTTTCGATAACAGATTAAATACTCTAATTAATTGATTTAAGCAGTAAAAATAACAACATATATCTCAAATTATAATAATCATATTATAATATCAATCTTTATTATAAATTTTTATCTCAAACTTTAATTTTCTAATATGAATTTGATAATAAAAAGAAGTTTCAAGATATTATTTCACATTTATCATAATTAGATTATGTATTGAAATTAGAAAATGCCGACTGCTTGATTATATATACAAGTGAAAAAAACAAGACAGATATCACATAATTACAAGAAAATACCAGTTATAAAAATTATTTGAAATTTTTTGAATAGTAATAAATTTCTAAACCAGGAATTAGTTGTTTTGCAGATTGTTAAACTCAAATCTCATCACATCATTAATAAACATTAATATTTCTACAAAAAAAAATTGATTTATAAATCTCTTACTAAGAAGGTAAATTTATTCTTGCAGAAAGTCAAGATACATACTATAAAAATGTAAATTTTAATTGCCAATTTAATATTAAGTTATAACATAAAAATTATTTTTATATTTAATTAGAGATGAAATAATTTTATAGAGATTTTGGAAGGCTAATGTATAAAGGTCAGATAAAAGTTGATAATAATTCATTAGAAGGTTAGTTAGATCTATTATATAAAGAGCCATTTGCAATAAATGGGATTGAGTTTAAAGGATAATTTTAATTAAAAGTTAAAGAATAAAAGATAATTTAATCTGTTGGAAATTTAACAGGAAAAATACATGATAATGATGTCAATGTCATTCTTTTTAATTATGATAATTTTATTCCAAAAGCATGGGCTGTTGTTATTTCTAATACAATTTTTTACAACTCATTATAAATATTTGGTATGAATAGAATTTTCCCAAAAGATTTTGTAGAAATATTTGAAAGAACACAAAGAATATTGTTTATCCATGGGCAAATAGATATTGATCTTAAAAATCCTAATTTTCCTCCAGAATTAATGTAGAAATTATCGGATACTAAATTTACAATACTTTTGGAAAAATTTGGTTCTCTTGATTTTTCAAAATTTAAAATTTAATTTAAAGATTTAGAAACAACACCTATATCTTGGAAAAGTTATAGTCCTGTTTTCATAATGATTAAAGACGAAGAAGAAAATTAAAATTTTGTTTCATAAACTTCTCTATTATTCAATAATGGAAATACATTTATTGGAAAAGGCTAACTGAAATTTTATTTTTCAAATTTATTAACAGATTGCGATCTAACTTACAAAATTGATGTATTAACAGGGAAGTTTGATTGTGAAGCAGATTTCTCTATTGAAATATTTGGATTCAAACAAAAATTAATGTCAAAATACATATTAGGGTAAGGTTTTCCTCTAAGTTTTAATTTATAAAAGGAAATATATTTTTTAGAATTTAACTTTAGTTACTTTTTACATAAATTTAAAGGAAGTATTGAATTAAATTTGTTTGAAGATATTACTAAATGGATATATATAAATAAATTGGGTTTTGAATTTGGTTTTGATCCTACATATTTTACTCTTGGCATTTAATGTAATTTTATTGTATCTTTTAAATTTGAAAACAGCGAAAAGGAATATAATTACCGTAAGCCAGTTGATTGGAATTGGTAGGCAATTATGGGTTTATTAGATAATTTGAATGGTTTAAAATATTATCTAATTTAATTATTTTATCAAATAGATTTAAGTTTTGACCTCTTTGGAATAAAATGGTTTCCATAATTGAAAATAAAGCTTGATGATTATTATATAAAATAAAAGATATATAATCACAAAACAGAACTTTAGACTTTGTTTAAAAGTAGTTTTGATGTCGATATTTCTGATGAACTAAATAAAATTGAAAAAGAAGTAGATTATTGTAAGCAATAAATAAGAGAAGCAGAAGAAAAAGAACGTGAAAAAATACAACAAGAAAATAACAAAAAGGATTAATAAGATAATGAAAAAGATAAAGAAAAAGTTTATATCGATGAATAAACAAATAATGATAAGATGGGATTAAAAAGATCATCATCACCCAATAATACTGACAGATAATCAACATCATAATCAAATTCTAATAAATAATAATCGACATAATCATCAAATGAAAATAATAATTAATAGTCATCATCATCAAATTATAATTGTGGATAAGAAACAGAAAAATCATCAAATTAAAATAATAAATAATCATCATAATAATCATAATCATCAAATTCTAATAATGAATAATCAAAATCATCACTAAACTAAAATAATAAATCTTCGACATCAAATTCTAATAATGGATAATCAAAAGTATNTCTAATACAATTTTTTACAACTCATTATAAATATTTGGTATGAATAGAATTTTCCCAAAAGATTTTGTAGAAATATTTGAAAGAACACAAAGAATATTGTTTATCCATGGGCAAATAGATATTGATCTTAAAAATCCTAATTTTCCTCCAGAATTAATGTAGAAATTATCGGATACTAAATTTACAATACTTTTGGAAAAATTTGGTTCTCTTGATTTTTCAAAATTTAAAATTTAATTTAAAGATTTAGAAACAACACCTATATCTTGGAAAAGTTATAGTCCTGTTTTCATAATGATTAAAGACGAAGAAGAAAATTAAAATTTTGTTTCATAAACTTCTCTATTATTCAATAATGGAAATACATTTATTGGAAAAGGCTAACTGAAATTTTATTTTTCAAATTTATTAACAGATTGCGATCTAACTTACAAAATTGATGTATTAACAGGGAAGTTTGATTGTGAAGCAGATTTCTCTATTGAAATATTTGGATTCAAACAAAAATTAATGTCAAAATACATATTAGGGTAAGGTTTTCCTCTAAGTTTTAATTTATAAAAGGAAATATATTTTTTAGAATTTAACTTTAGTTACTTTTTACATAAATTTAAAGGAAGTATTGAATTAAATTTGTTTGAAGATATTACTAAATGGATATATATAAATAAATTGGGTTTTGAATTTGGTTTTGATCCTACATATTTTACTCTTGGCATTTAATGTAATTTTATTGTATCTTTTAAATTTGAAAACAGCGAAAAGGAATATAATTACCGTAAGCCAGTTGATTGGAATTGGTAGGCAATTATGGGTTTATTAGATAATTTGAATGGTTTAAAATATTATCTAATTTAATTATTTTATCAAATAGATTTAAGTTTTGACCTCTTTGGAATAAAATGGTTTCCATAATTGAAAATAAAGCTTGATGATTATTATATAAAATAAAAGATATATAATCACAAAACAGAACTTTAGACTTTGTTTAAAAGTAGTTTTGATGTCGATATTTCTGATGAACTAAATAAAATTGAAAAAGAAGTAGATTATTGTAAGCAATAAATAAGAGAAGCAGAAGAAAAAGAACGTGAAAAAATACAACAAGAAAATAACAAAAAGGATTAATAAGATAATGAAAAAGATAAAGAAAAAGTTTATATCGATGAATAAACAAATAATGATAAGATGGGATTAAAAAGATCATCATCACCCAATAATACTGACAGATAATCAACATCATAATCAAATTCTAATAAATAATAATCGACATAATCATCAAATGAAAATAATAATTAATAGTCATCATCATCAAATTATAATTGTGGATAAGAAACAGAAAAATCATCAAATTAAAATAATAAATAATCATCATAATAATCATAATCATCAAATTCTAATAATGAATAATCAAAATCATCACTAAACTAAAATAATAAATCTTCGACATCAAATTCTAATAATGGATAATCAAAAGTATCATAGAATTAAAATAATTTATAATAAAAATCCTCATCAAATTCTAACATTGAATAATCATCATAATATTCTAATAATTAATAATAATAAACAGTAAAATCATCAAATTCTAATAATATTTAATCAACATCATCATCAAATTCTAACAATAGATAACCAACATCATCATAAAATACTAATAATTAATAATAATAAACAGTAAAAACATCAAGTTCTAACAATATTTAATCATCATCATCATAAAATACTAATAATTAATAATAATAAACAGTAAAAACATCAAGTTCTAACAATATTTAATCATCATCATCATAAAATACTAATAATTAATAATAATAAACAGTAAAAACATCAAGTTCTAACAATATTTAATCATCATCATCATAAAATACTAATAATTAATAATAATAAACAGTAAAAACATCAAGTTCTAACAATATTTAATCATCATCATCATAAAATACTAATAATTAATAATAATAAACAGTAAAAACATCAAGTTCTAACAATATTTAATCATCATCATCATAAAATACTAATAATTAATAATAATAAACAGTAAAAACATCAAGTTCTAACAATATTTAATCATCATCATCATAAAATACTAATAATTAATAATAATAAACAGTAAAAACATCAAGTTCTAACAATATTTAATCATCATCATCATAAAATACTAATAATTAATAATAATAAACAGTAAAAACATCAAGTTCTAACAATATTTAATCATCATCATCATAAAATACTAATAATTAATAATAATAAACAGTAAAAACATCAAGTTCTAACAATATTTAATCATCATCATCATAAAATACTAATAATTAATAATAATAAACAGTAAAAACATCAAGTTCTAACAATATTTAATCATCATCATCATAAAATACTAATAATTAATAATAATAAACAGTAAAAACATCAAGTTCTAACAATATTTAATCATCATCATCATAAAATACTAATAATTAATAATAATAAACAGTAAAAACATCAAGTTCTAACAATATTTAATCATCATCATCATAAAATACTAATAATTAATAATAATAAACAGTAAAAACATCAAGTTCTAACAATATTTAATCATCATCATCATAAAATACTAATAATTAATAATAATAAACAGTAAAAACATCAAGTTCTAACAATATTTAATCATCATCATCATAAAATACTAATAATTAATAATAATAAACAGTAAAAACATCAAGTTCTAACAATATTTAATCATCATCATCATAAAATACTAATAATTAATAATAATAAACAGTAAAAACATCAAGTTCTAACAATATTTAATCATCATCATCATAAAATACTAATAATTAATAATAATAAACAGTAAAAACATCAAGTTCTAACAATATTTAATCATCATCATCATAAAATACTAATAATTAATAATAATAAACAGTAAAAACATCAAGTTCTAACAATATTTAATCATCATCATCATAAAATACTAATAATTAATAATAATAAACAGTAAAAACATCAAGTTCTAACAATATTTAATCATCATCATCATAAAATACTAATAATTAATAATAATAAACAGTAAAAACATCAAGTTCTAACAATATTTAATCATCATCATCATAAAATACTAATAATTAATAATAATAAACAGTAAAAACATCAAGTTCTAACAATATTTAATCATCATCATCATAAAATACTAATAATTAATAATAATAAACAGTAAAAACATCAAGTTCTAACAATATTTAATCATCATCATCATAAAATACTAATAATTAATAATAATAAACAGTAAAAACATCAAGTTCTAACAATATTTAATCATCATCATCATAAAATACTAATAATTAATAATAATAAACAGTAAAAACATCAAGTTCTAACAATATTTAATCATCATCATCATAAAATACTAATAATTAATAATAATAAACAGTAAAAACATCAAGTTCTAACAATATTTAATCATCATCATCATAAAATACTAATAATTAATAATAATAAACAGTAAAAACATCAAGTTCTAACAATATTTAATCATCATCATCATAAAATACTAATAATTAATAATAATAAACAGTAAAAACATCAAGTTCTAACAATATTTAATCATCATCATCATAAAATACTAATAATTAATAATAATAAACAGTAAAAACATCAAGTTCTAACAATATTTAATCATCATCATCATAAAATACTAATAATTAATAATAATAAACAGTAAAAACATCAAGTTCTAACAATATTTAATCATCATCATCATAAAATACTAATAATTAATAATAATAAACAGTAAAAACATCAAGTTCTAACAATATTTAATCATCATCATCATAAAATACTAATAATTAATAATAATAAACAGTAAAAACATCAAGTTCTAACAATATTTAATCATCATCATCATAAAATACTAATAATTAATTATAATAAACAGTAAAATCATCAAATTCTAATTATGGATAATCATTATCATCATCAAATTCTAATATTGGATAATCAATATCATCATCAAATTCTAATATTGGATAATCAATATCATCATCAAATACTAATATTGGATAATCATCATCATCATCAAATACTAATAATGGATAATCATCATCATCATCGAATTCTAACAAAATTTAATCAACATCATCATCAAATTCTAATAATGGATAATCAATATCATCATCGAATTCTAATAATGGATAATCATTATCATCATCAAATACTAATAATGGATAATCATCATCATCATCGAATTCTAACAATATTTAACCAACATCATCATCAAATACTAATAATGGATAATCATCATCATCATCGAATTCTAACAATATTTAATCAACATCATCATCAAATACTAATAATGGATAATCATCATCATCATCGAATTCTAACAATATTTAATCAACATCATCATCAAATACTAATAATGGATAATCATCATCATCATCGAATTCTAATAATATTTAATCAACATCATCATCAAACTCTAATAATGGATAATCAATATCATCATCAAATTCTAAAAATGGATAATCTATTTCATCATCAAATTCTTATAATGTATTATCAACATAATCCTCAAATTCTAATAATGGATAATTAATATTGTCAATAAAATCTAATAATGGATAGCCAACATCATCATCAAATTAGAATGATGAATATTCAATATCATCATCAACTCCTAATAATGAATAATAAACCGTAAAATATATTACAAATTCTGAATCATAATAAACTACAATGTACCAATTATAATTGACTTAAACCAATGAAAATACAAATACTAACATATCACATAACTAAACATAATCAAACTAAATTATTTTGTGTTCAAATAATTTAAAGAAATATATTTTTGAAGATTATTTTGATTCAAATATTTATTTACAAACTAAACTAACAAAATCTTAATAAAAAAAAAAAAATACTAAAAGTTAGAAAACTAAACCATTAGAACAAGAATAAGAAATTAATAACAATACTGAAATAACTGATTATAATAAATTGCTTTTCAAAGCTGAATAACAACTATATTAATAATGGTAAGATTCAAAATAAACCAAGAATGATATAAAAAATTTATCCTTTAGAATAATAATTACAGAGTAATATTTAGAATAATCATATATTTAATATATTGGATCATTATTATTGCAATTTTCTTATCTTAATTTAACTTATGATATAATCTTATCAGGATAGAATTAAGCAATATTTTTAAAACAAAAAGAGGATAATTTAACTTTAATTCTTTTAGATTCAATATTGCATGCAATACATGGATAATGCAATAAGGAATTTATATTAGTCAATGAAGATAACTTATCTGAAAATGATTTTATATTATTATTAACTAAACAATTTTTGGAAATGTCAAATTAATGTAAAGAGGAATTATTGAATCAAGGGTTCACTACAATTATTTAAAGTTAAGATGAATTTGATTTTAATATTATAGACGTATAAAATGGTCAAACAATCAGTAATTTAAAAAATTTAATAGAATTGTTAAATTAAATTGTAGAAAATTAGATAGTAAAGATAAAATAAATTGACTAAAATCTTTTGGACTAACAAAAAGTAAAATAATATAAATAAGAATTTGAACCCTAACTTGAATCAAAGGAAGCCAATAGTATAAAAGCATTGTTAGAAGTAGGTAAATTTACAAAATATTCTCTATCTTCAAAAGGAACGACTATAGATATCAAAGGTATCATTAAATTTTTTTGCACAAATGGAACTGCTAGGGACATTATGAAGAGAAAAAATAGAGGAGGAAAGTCATTTTATTTTTTTTAGGTTGTTTTAGATTTAAGTTAACTAGAATAGGATACCTTATCATAAATCCTATTACCATTTTTACTCCAATTTATAGAAATATGTAAGTAATGTTAACTAGTATGCAATTTAATGATTTTAGATCATACAACAAAGATAATTAAATCAAATTTTTCAACATCATGGACTGAGTAGGAATAAACATTATTAATATAAAGCTTAATTAATTATTCTAATGAAACTTCAGTAAACCAGGATCATGATCAATTTTAATTCATACTTGATTAATTTTAAAGTTTCAGCAAATATAAAAAATATTTGATATTCATTAATCACTCCTTTTATAATTATTCATGTCAAAACCTTTAATTATAACTTAATATGGCTTAGTAAATGCAAATAAAAATAATTTCTTTGGGATTAGATTTAAAAAAATATATCAATCATTCATTAGGTGGAGTTATCTAATTTGCACTCACATAATAAAATAGTGCATATTAAATTATAACAAATTTATTGTAGAAAGATTATGAGGCCCAGATAGTTGATGGTACCTTTTAGTTCTATTAAAATATGGAAAAATATCCAAATACACTAGAACTTTTATAAGTATCATCTGAAGATAGTTAATATAATTGTTATTTGAATAAATATTTCAATTATATACAAAGCGAAGAATCCAATAAAGAAAACGATTAAGGATCCAATGAAGTATAAAATGAAGGATAAAATGGAGATGAATCTTTGATTAGATTAACAAAATTAGATTTATTCTTAAATTTACTAGTTAAGCTGAATGAACTATAATAATTGATGTAAGGTATATAAAAGAAGGATTCTGATTAATAAGAAAATTAGAATACATGAAAAATAATATATAAAGAATTTAATATTTATTAATATCTTCAAAAAATCTAATATATACTATATTATTTAATTAAAAAGACTCCATAATCAATCGTCTAAATACTAATATACACCCTTTAAAGTTACAAATATTTATTTTATTTGAATAAATGTATTTCAAGCTCAAATTAAATCACTAGCCTTTTAAGCCTTTAAAAATCAAAATTATAAAAGTTTAAGTATTTTCTAACAACTATTTTTTATATTGAATAATATAATTTAATCAAAATATAATTAATAATTATGAAAATTACAATAATGTAATATTATTAATCATGCTAAAGTTGAATAATTAAGATTTATTAAAAGTAATATAACTTTTTATCCCTAAGATATTAAATTCTAGTTTATTTTATTTTAAATTCTATATTTTGTTAAAAGATTATAATTTAAATACAACTTATTTATTTTATTCCACTCTCACAAAACTATGGTAATTATGAGAAACAAATTAGATAGGAATAATAATTCCAGTTATTTTTAAGTTTAGGTTTTTCAAATTTAATTGATGAATGAAATTAAGTATTAATAATCGCAATTACAAAAGGAAACATAACAAATCTAAATATTATATATAATAAATTTCATAAAACAAGAACCCTTATATAAAAATAATGATACATTCTATCTAATACAAAATTAAAGAAAGTATCACAACTATCAATTGATCTCAGGATATTAATTATCAACATTAACAACAAGAAGGATTTCTTGATGAATTATTACCTAAATATATATTAACTGAGTGATATAACTTCAGTTAGATTTTTTCATGATTATTTTATTTCTCATTTATTAAGATGGCTAAGTGTGATCAAATAATGTTATATGCTTAACTAAAAGTATAAATAAATATAAATTTCATTTTTTTCATTGTATGGTAGTTATAAAATCTTTAGAATAAGATATCACTCTCCCAAATAAAACGAATAGAAGAAAATAACAATCGGTTAAGGCTGGTTATAAGTTCTAAATTGTATTCCATAACCTAGCAATGGTTGATTAATTGGTATAATTTTTCCATAATTTTTTTGAGTTGAATTAATAATTGTGAATGATTGTCAAAATTATTACATTAAAATAGGAGTAGTTTCTAATTAAAAAAGGAATTTTTTTTAATATAATTGAAATTTGAATTATGCAGACAATATTATCTTATAATCATTTGAAATCCTTAGAGGAGATTGATTAATTTATACAAAACTCTTTTTTGTCAGAATAATGGATTTCTCTGGATTGCTGATCAAATAAGATGATCTAATCAGAAAGTAGGGATTAATGAATGAATATAAAAATAAATAATTTTCATTTATGTGATAAATTCATAAGTATGACATCCTAAATTACACTAGTTATAGTCTTATAGTAATTTTGTATTTATTTGGGTTCATAAAGTAGGTTTAGCCATTATAAAATTAAAAAAATGACTAATTAATAATAAGGATATCAAGAGATAAAAATATATAACAATATTATTATCCATATTAATGTTATAATGAAATTAAGATTCAAGTTTCATTATTTAAAATTATATCAATAAGAGATCAAATCTAAATAATAAGAAATAAAAAAAATAACTAAGTATTACTGTTCTTTAGTATTTTAAATGGCAAAAATATATTATAAAAATTTATTTTTTTCCTTTTAAATTATGAAAATTTCATTAAATGTGCTTTCATTAATTGATAAAGTTAATAAAGTCTTTTTTTATTTCAAATAAAGTGACTCTTTTGTTTATTATTTAAATAGTCTCGATTAATTTAATTCAAGTCCAATAAGTATTAAAATATATAATTAAATACATTTTTTAATTATAAATTAAAAAAATGATTAATGATTATTTAATATAATAAAAATTATTTAATCATATATTTTATTTAATGTATATATCATATAATAATGGTTACATCAAATTTATTTTATTCTAATACTCTAACCAATTTTGAATGTTCAATTTTTGTAAAGGCTGATGAGCATTAACTCAAATCAATATATATTATTTTAGATTCTCCATTTTTTAAATTCACTAAGCTTTAATATAATTCTGTTTTATTAAATTCACATCTTTTCAAATTCATTTTAAGAGTCTTGAGATTACTAAAGGGGAATTATTAAAATTCTAATCTAATATTTTCAAAAGTGATATCCAGAATATCCAATTTACTTTTTATATTATCTGAAAATTTAAAGTTCTGCATTATTGAATTATTATTAATGGATAATTGAAAAATCTTCATTTCTTTGAAATTTCCAAATAATTATGAACACTATTCTAAATTTAAATTACCTGCAATTTCAAAATAAAATTATTCAAAATCATACCTATCTAATTCTAAAAAATCTTTATTAATATCTAAACTTTTTTGTTAAACAACTTAAGAAGTATCCTTATATTATTAGATTATCTAGAAATAAGAATAAGAAAAGGCTTTAAGAGTAGTTTTTCTTTCAACACAAAATGGCATTTTAATTTCTTCTGTTGCTTCAACTTAAATTTATAGAAATTATAATTATGGTGGACAATACTTAATAAAAGCATTAATATGAGGAAGATCAAGAGGATTTACTTCATCTAAATTAAAATTGAGTTTCAATTAATAAATTGGACTGACTTTTAAACATCTTACAAAATCATTAATTTCAGGTCCCATACAAAATAATCTTTATGCTTTATCTATTTCTAATATATTTTATATTGAAGCAAGTACATATCTAAATTAAGCTAGCATTTTCTCTTTTTTTTTCTCTTTATAATTAGAAAAATCTATATGTTCCATATTAATTTTAAAAGTACATTTTTATTTTAAATATTTTTCATCTACTTTTGACATGATTTAAAAAGATTTAGGATATTCTAATAACATTTAATTTGATATTGAACTCAAATATAACATAGATTAAAAGAATTATTCTACTGAAACTGTACTTAAAATTAAAGCTGGTATAAAAAAATCTTTAATTACAACTTCTAATATATCTTTGACTGCCAAAATACCTTCTTTTATTTACTGAAAAAAAGACATAGCCCATACAGTACTTAAATCACTAGAAGATAATGCTAAAATATAAATAAAAAATTAAGGAATCTTATTCAAAGCTTCTTCAACACTAGTTCTCCACATAACTGCTTAATAAAATGGTAATTATTTTATAGCTAAAATGCTTTTAGAATCCACTTTAACTGTTTCATATTAAAATACTGAAATAGGAAGACTGCCCTAGAATTTAGAAGCATAACTTTTAAATTTAATATATCCTTCAGCACTAAAATTTCTCTCTAAAGTAGTAAAAAATTTCTTTGAGAAATAATACATAGCAATCATAACAATATCCCAAACTTTTAAAAAGTTAAATATAGCAAATAGTAAAACATTCTAAATCTAATTTTAAATTGTTAGAGTCTTAAAAACTCTATGTTAAAATACCGTAAAAGACAACATTTGAATCACTGGATTGATTACAGTTAATACTATTAAAGCAGATTAAAACTTATCAGGATCATCTCCTATGTATACAAGAGAAACTATTTACAATCCTCCATTCAAAAATGATTATAAAGATTACATAGTCGCTTAGTATTGATTCAATTAACCCCAGGTTTCAAAATATTTATAATAAGCCAATAAACATTTAAAATACCCTAAACTTTCCTCCAAGATTTACTCTTTAGATATACTTTTAAATTGATTTTTTGCTTCTTCGGCAATATCAATTTAAGATTCTTATCTATCAGTTTGAACAATATTAATTTAACTTGATATAGTGCCTGTTCCGTATGATCTAGAATTTAATCTGACTGATTTCCTTAAATGATCTGGTATCAATTTAGTAAAATGATAACTCATTTCTATATATTCTCTTATTAATTTTTAGTTTTATGCTACTGCTTACCAACCAGAATTAATTTTTGGATTTTCAATGAATTGAATCTCTTAAATTTTTTATTCTTCTGCTTTAGTATCAATTTTGTCATCAACCCATAATTAATCAATATTTTAGTCTTGCATTTATTCAAGTTTTAATTTTGGAAATTGTTTACTTTAAAAAGTATCTTACAGCATTTTTAATTTATTTACATCTTTATATAATAGACTTATTTAGTCTACTTAAATTAATTTAATGCAATTTGCTAAATATTGTAATGTAATTTCATCATATTAATCTATGAATAGAAATTAAATATTTTAGAATTTTTTATACCTAGTCAAGAATGTGATTATTTAAACCATACATCTTTTCTTTTGATAATTACTAAATGTAGTTGGATCAATATGGAAATAAAAAGATTTAACAAATCCTAGATATTTTTTATCAGATTTTAATAATTATTTAGTTTCTTAAATGAACTTTAATTTTATTTTTTTCAATTTAAATTATAGTTCTGTTTGTATCTATCTATAAGTTGTTGTGAAAACAATAAATTGTAATTCCAAAAGATAATAAATTAAATTACTTACTAATAATAAATAACTAAACACATTAAATCCATCCCATTCATGTTCTGTATTATAGAAGCCTTAAATAAAGAGTTAAGGAAAAGTTTAAAGACACATTGTAATCATCATAGAAAGAAGTGCTATTCTATGAAAAATTAAATCTCTAAAAATATTGACTGGCTTAGTTCTTTATTTGAAAAGTATAGAAGGATTTCTAAATTTATCTTCTCCATCTAAAATCAAATATTTATTAATTTCACTAAAAGAAAACTATTTAATTGATTAATCTCTGTTGAAATAATAAATAAATGGAGCTATTTTAAAAAAACTTAATCCTCCCATAAACAAATAAAAGATATAATATGAAATTTCTATGAACATACTCTTTTTGGCAACTTATCTAAATTTATATGTATACATCCAAGTTGCACTGTGAAGTAAAGCACATGAAATGATAGAAATATAATAGCAACCCAAATAATATATTTCTTAATCAGAAATATTATTATAAGATTTGTAACTTAAAGTGAATATCAATTCAAGCACATTTAAAATGTAAATAAATATTTGAAGTCCTATTTTAGCATAATATTTATATATGCTTGAACTTCTCTTAACTTCTAAATAGCGAGATTCTATAAACTCTTGAAATTCACTATAAAATTGCTTTTCTTTATGGACTTCCCAATCTAAAATAGGATCAGGACGAGATTTAAGACAATTAAATTTTGGTGGAACCTCTTAATGAACAATTTAAACTTCTTAATTTTGTTCTTATCGATTGGTCTCAGGTTAAATCAATGACTAAGTATAATACAATTTTATAATTACGTATATTCTGGTCTCATTTGGATTCTTCAATTTGGTAGTTTAATTTATGCTGCCTTTTTATAACTATTGTTGTTATTATTAGTTCTGTTATTATGATTATCCCTAAGCTACTTTTTGACTTTATAGAAGTTATTGCTAAGACTATGGTTGCTAGTCTAAATTTTTTGAATTTCTTTATGATTGCTTTATTTGTGACATCAGTTAATTTTTGTTTAATTACAAAGTAATAAAATCTATAAGACTTTAATTCTACATTCAGAAATTGAACAGAAAATCAAAGGATCATATATTCATTGAATTACAGTAAAATATTATATAAGTAAAGAAAAATTAAATAGATGTAAAAAATATTGCTTTTACAATTTAGTGGAGGTGGATTATATGACTAAATAAATTAAATGAATATTGGGAGAAGGATAGAGTCAAGTGATGGATTTTACAACTAATCATAAGTCACTTATCATGGTGCTTGTGTTAATGATAAAAATTTTGGTAGATGGGATTTATTCTTTAAAGGGGAATATGAAGAAGAATTTAAGAAGATGTAAAATTTAATTATAAATATTATTCAAAAATATTTTAGTGGTTGTGGCTAATATGCTTAATGAAGGTAATGAGATTAGGGTTGGGAGATGGACTGAGTTGAGCAATGGATTTAAGGATGATTCATAAGTGACTTAAAAAAGGCGAATAATTAAATTGTAAAAAAGTTGGTAAATTGGATTCTTATTTGAAAATTTATGAGGATTCTAAATATGAATGGATGTAAAATCTTATTTTAATATTGTGTAGTGGTGGTGGTTTATATGATGAAGAAGGTAATCAGTTCAAAATTGGATAATGGATTGAGTTAAGTGATGAGTTTGACTACAGATAAACTTTATTAAACTTGAAGGGAATTTGAATTTATTGACATATTTAAATACATACAATCTTTTTAAGTAGATCTGATGCAGTATTTAAAATACTTTGAAATTATTTTCATAATATCAAAATGTAATGATTAGTACTAAGAAATTTTTAAATAGAGATATTTATTATTTTTAGGTTAATTGTTGAAACAGAGATTAATAAAAGAAATCCTTTTTCAATATAGTTAATTATAATAACAGATGACATAATTGTAATTTGAAAATTTAATAGTCCAAAATTTTATAATCAAAACAGATGATTTATGAATTACAAATTAAAATAGTAATTAATTTATATAGAAATAGTGATTGATAATAATATAAAATAATTATGGTAGAAATCAAAAGATAAGCTATTATCTTGATTATTAAAGAAACTTATGATTATTTACATAATTAAGAGGAATTAATCAAGTAGAATTAAATTAGTACATAAATATATTTATAAATAGAATGCATACTAAATCAGGTTAAACAATTCATTTAGGCTTCACAATTAGTAGAAATACCATAATACTAAAACTAAAAAGTACAAGAATAAGGTATTTATAAATTTAGAAATTTTAGCAATACGTTTACTAAATAATTAAAGATGGTGTTAAGCAGACCAATTGATAGAAAAACATTTAAAAGAATCTGACAAATATTAATCTTATTTGAAATTCCTTTAAAGTACTATTAATATATATAATTTAGGCATTGCCTTAATTGAAAACAATTAACCAGGAAAAGGACTTATTAAAAGAGATGAAGCCTAAAAAATGAATGGAAACTTATATAAAGAACTATCAGATTATGCAGATAAGAAACTTAGTGAAAATCAAAATAATCTAATTATACTTATCATAAAAAGTTAATTATATTATGAATTTCTTTAGGTTATGCATTACATGATCAATAGAAATATGATTAGGCGATTGATTAATGTAGAATAGTTTTGAGAAAAAATCCTAAATATCTCCATGCCTTATATAGATTAAGTACTATTTAATTAAAAAATTAGGCTATGCTTTATAAGATTAGCATCAAAATGATTAGGCAATTCAATGTTTTGAATCCTGTTAGGAATATATCATAGGTTATTTTTAGAGAGGTAGATTATTTTGTTATCATATTTAGCATATTCATTACAACAATAAGAGAAATATTAATATGCTATTACTTAATACGATTTGGCAATTAAAAAAGATCCTTAATTTTCCTAAGCTTTAAATAATAAAGGTTATATTTATTTGATTGTTTTAGGTAATTTATTATATAAAATGAAAAAATATGATGAAGCTAATGAATTTTTTGATTAAGCAATAACAATAGATCCATTTAATGCAAAATTTTATTTTAATAAAGGTTTAATATTATCTCATTTTAATAGGTTAGTCATTATATTTTCTTAAAAAAAATGATCAAGCTTTAATTTACTTCAATTAAGCATTGATTTTCGATAAAACATATGCTGAAGCATATACATATAAAGGTACTTAAGAATTATAAAAAGGCTATCTATTATTAAAAATGAATAGATTGTAATTTGCCATAACAACATATAATTAAGCAATTATATATTGCGAAAATGAGAGGGCCAAATTTGAGGAGTTAAAGGCTAGAGCAATAGGTGTAAGATGACCAAAAATTTTAATTATATTGTGATAATATTTATAATATTACTAAGTTTCTTATTTTTTTTCAACCCTTTCTCAAAACCCTAAATTAATGATCCAGAAGAATATTAATTTTTCTAAGATTACTTGGTTTTTGTTTGAAAGGGAAATGTTAAAAAAAAGAGAAAGATGGAATCTAATAAATTTTAACTACAAAAATTAAGGATTCATTTATTAGATATCAAAATAGTCATTCTTTTTATTTTTCATATCATCATAATATCTATAATGAATTGATAACATTAATGAAAAAATTAAGAAATAGAATTAATACATCATCAATAAATATTTTTATGTAATATACAAAAGTTTCAAGTACTATATATATTAGTATTATAACATTTTAAATGTATCCATATAAAATCTACATATGTTATTTAAATAAATGATTTTGAAAGTATAATAAGTCTAATTTTTATAATTATTATTATTAATGATATCAATTATATTCTTATCTGCTTTAGAAAAAAATAAATTGATGCATTACACGAAAAGAGATACCCATGAGTCTAATTCTATCAAAAATATAATACTATTATTATTGAATTTAGAAATAATTATATTCTATTATATAACATGTTTATCTTCTTTATACATTAATACAATTTATCAAAAGGGTTTACCTATCATATAGGATTAAGTTATATTAAGGTTATAAATGTATGAATTTTATAGAAAAGGAATCATCTTAATTGATCTTCTAATTCTAAGAATAATACTCCCATATAAGAAATATATTCATTCTTTAATTTTTTTGGGTAATTTTGCTCATAAATTTATATGATTTCAAAATTATTATATAAATATTTCTATCTTTATTTTAATTATCTATTTTATTAAGGAAATAAGAATATTTCTTTTCTTAATTGAAATATTCTGGAAAATCTGAAAGAATTTTTTAAGTGAATTAATTCAATTTTATCTTAATTATAAAATATAAGAGAATATATAGAAAGTAATAATCAGAAATTAAATTTAATCAATTAAAACAATTTATTTTTACTTTCATAGTTCATAAAAATAAATCAATATATGTTAACAACTAAATATTTAATATTCTGAAATATAAAAATTAGTAAATTAAGGAACAAAAACTGAAATATTATCAATTACAGAATTTATAAAACTAAATTAAAAATTTTGTTTATTTTTAAATGTTGAAATTTCTTGAGATATTTATTTTATTTAATTCAAGTAGATTATTATTTAATTTGATTTAATCTACGAAAATTAGAAATATATTAGAAAAGGAATTACAAAATTGTAGATCAAAATTTTTATAACAATCCTCTAAGTTAACATGAAAAATCTCAGATGATACCACTGTATAAATATATATATATATTGTAATCTATTTTAATCTAAATTAATGAGTTTATAAGAATATTTAATAACAAAAAATACTCTTATATTTTTTATAAAGATTAGATAATCATTAATTCTAAAAGAATTTGAAACCTTCCTTCATTATCTAATTATTTGAATAAGATGCATAGAAGAAAAAATAATTTTCCATATTCTTAAATTCAAGAGAAATTTTATTGTTATAATAGAGGCTAACAAACAAGTACAACAGAATTGAAAACAAGTATTTTATTGAGGGATTGCAAGATAAAATAATTTACCTTATAAATAGATTCTAACTAAATTTTTACTTGAAAATCCAAAGAAAAGATTAGAAGGACAGGATAATATTTTATTTGAGAAAGAAAAGATGGATTTTAAATAATTAATTTTATTGATTATTTTAAGAAAAATATACCTTTGCAAATGGAAGTTAAAATTTTGATTTACTATATTTGATTTATGATGATACATCTTAAAGATACATCAATTATTTAATATCTATGAGGAGTTTTAATATATGGAAGTATAGGTATTAGATATAAGAACTATTTATTAAATCATTGAAAAAAAGTCAAATCAATAGATATCTCTATATGATATAGGGATTTGGATTAAGATATAATAGTAAAATAAGTAAAACCTTATACATGATATTAATTTTACATTAAATAAAAACATATTTTTAAGTTTATTTTGAGTTACATGCTAAATATAGTTGTTTCAAAATTTAGTAATATTTAATGAAAATCATTTCTCAACATATTGATTGCTTTATATTCAATTTTGTTTATTCTCTTCATCTTTAATCAAATCCTTCAAAAAGGTTTTCATTATTTTCTCATTATATTAATATTGTGTAGATTTTAAAAATGATGCTTCCCAACAGGTTTTCATAAATTAGCAAACATGATAACCACAAGAATAACCATCTTTTTGTTAACCAGAGATGCTACTTTTAGAGAGTTATGGATTTTTAAGCATTAATAACTCTGATAAGTAATTTATTAATGAATTATCATGATTAAAACTTAGTAAAGAATTAAAAATCTCTACTTTTTTTTCTTTTAAATCAAATAATAAAAAATACCAATGTTTATTTTAATTAATAGGGAAACCAATTTTCGAATAAATAGTTTAAATTTCAAATTTTATTTCCTGTAATTCAAGAAAGTGTTATTTAAATAATTCTAAATTTTAATGGCTATGATAAAATTTACCAAAATTTGTAATTAAGCTACTAGTAACAAAATATATTCTATTTATTTATTGTCTTTAATCTAAACTTAATTTAAAATATTCTTCTTAACTTATTTTATTAAGATGTAAAACATAGCAATCAATTATGCTACTATTTAACCACATAGTAGTATTTAATATCATTAAATCGTTTATTCCAAATTATTAATTATATTTACACCAAATAGTTTTCTTATCATTTTTCTTATTTACATGTATTGGTTAGCCATCAACTATCTCTAATATTTTAATTCTTTTTGGTTCAACACTATATGATTTATATGTGGATTTATTTTCAGAATATGGTATCCTCTAAACATATACTCCCTTTCTATATTCCCCTTAATTTTTAATCTGATTAGATTTTCCTTAATTTTCAATTCCTTATCCATCCAATTAAAATGTGTTTTTATTTAAATCAACTAGGAACTCTCCCTCTAAAATTTAATATTTAGGATTGTTATTATCATCAAAAATTGTTTGATACAATTTTCCTTTGATTTTAAATAAACAAACTCGTTATTATGATGGAATTTCAATATTTTATTGATCTTTATCATAAAATAGGATATTAGTAAATATTAGTAATTTCTCATATTCAGAATTATTGGAAATATTAATAACATCATATCCATGTTAATAAAAAATATCAATTAATGTATTTATTTTTGGTTGTTCTTGAATTTGAAAGTCACCCTTTAATTATCTCTATTTATTTATATATTTATTTTTATTATTATCTAAATCTGGTTATTCAGAATTTTTATAAAATGACTTATTTTTTCTAATGCTATTCTTTATTGGGGTTTTTGGTTTTGGATTATTGTTTCTTCTTTCTAATTCTATTTCTTTGTATAATTTAAAATTATGTTCATTAGTAATCTTGTTTTGATATATCTCTGTGCTTCTATTAATGTCCTGAATATTGATTTTGTTTTATAATTAATCAACTTTCATTTTTTGTTATTGATATAATTGATAAAGATATATTTAATCTTTATTCAGATTATTTTTATTTTTCTGTCTTGTTTATTCAATACTTTTAAGCCTACTCATATTTTCTTTAGAAGGCTTTAATTTTAATTAAATATATATTATATAAATTAAATAAATTAGTATCTTTAACATATAAATTTTAATTCATTGGTTTATTATTCAACCATTCATTTTGATAGGTAAATTATAATTATTTTAATAAAGTGATTATATAATTTTGAACGTGAATATAATTGAATTCCACATTTGATATATAATATTAATTCTACATATATTTTTAAGAATCATATTTAAATTAATATAATATATAATAAATTCTGATAATTTTATTCAGAATTAATTCATAAATTTAAGTATTTATACTCCTTTTGAATTCTGAAAAAAAATATAAATTATATTAGATAATGTAAACATAACAAGAATTACCTCTCTATATTCAATAGACTCCTTAAGCATCAAGTTAGATATCAAATGTTTAATACCCAATATTGAGTAATGTAGTACCAGCTGCTTAATATATTTAATTGAATGATGTTTAATAAGCTGTTGCTGAGAAGTGTGTTTTGAATGAAGTAAATTCAGATAGATAAGCATTTCTAATTGAATATTACAAAAAGATATTAATACAACATTCAATTATTTTTGGATTGTTCTTACTTGGATTAACTAAATGGTTTAGTTCAATTGTAGTTCATCATCATTATTGGTGGAGTTAATTTAGATGGACTTGGTATGTTGTTTTAAGTTTGTTGATTGTCATAGTATTAGGACTTCCAATATTGAGAAAATATAGATGGATTGTATTCTATATTGTCTAAAAATTATTAGGTTTCATAGTAGTCTAAATTATACCATATTCAAACAGTATTAATAGCTTTTCTTTTGATTGGAATTGCTGGAAATCAAAGAGGAAACAGTTCACATAAATCTTTTAATATTTGGATTATCATTGTGTTAGTAATTTTAATTAGTCATGATTTACTTTAAATTGTTATTGTGAGATTCTAAAAAACTCATTATTACACTGTATTAATGAAATTTACAATAATGGGATCATTGGCACTTAATTTTATAGTAGGTTTATCAAATAAACATCTTGATAGAGCATTTCCAATATCAGAGATCATCATTATATATGCTCTTTATTATTTTAATTAATTAAATGTTTAATTATTGAAATAGAGTCATGAATTACCAGAGGAATTATCAATATTTGAAAGAATTCAAAAACTTAAATTGATTAGAAACTTATTTAATTAAGAAGCTAGATAGAATCAAATAATTGAATAATTATAAGACACTCATTGTGTGATAAGCAAACATTTAGTTATAGTAATAGGATCAGGTTTTGGATATATTGTAATATTTGTTTTAAGTATTGTTACTGGAAATGGATTTTTGATATTTACTTTGATTATGGGATCAATTTCTATGTTAAGTGTGATATTAGAAACTTAAGTTGCATCAAGAGTATAAATTAATTTAATATTTATATTAGAGTTTAAAATAAGAAGACTCTCATTATGCAGTATGTTTGACTTATCTTGACATGGCTAGTCCATTAAGATTATTATTGAGAAGTTTATTTAATAAATGAAAATGATATATTTATATCTATAACTTATTAATTATTTTGATTGACATAAATTTAATAATAATATAAGGAAGTATTAATTGAATGCTTTATTTCTATATTGATGATATGAATATTGTATTTATTAAATTGAATGAAAATAAAATAGTATATTTAATCAAAATATAAATTTCATGTTTTCTCTTAATTAAATTAGAACTCCGAAGTTTTTAAATTGTTTGAGAAACTATAGAGTGAAGAATTAAATTTTAGTGATTTAACTTTTGATATTTACTGTGATTATTGCTTTTTTGACTATAGCCTTGGTTATAAATAGAGTAATAATTGAATCTGTAATAGAGAAGGTTTCACTATAATTATTGTAAAACATTAATTAAAAGGCTCTATATAAATAATCAACTTATTTGGAATATTAAACATTCTTAACTTTTAATTTTGGGTTCAGTCTGCTTAATAAAATAAATTCTCAAAATTTGTATTTGCTTAAGTAATAAAATATTATGTTGGATAATACACCCTTCAGTTGTATTGATTATAATGTTAGATAAAAATAGCCATTATAATATTATCTACCTGAATTTTGTTATTATTATGCTAATAATATAGATTATGCATTAATTCCAAAAACAGAAATTGATTAACATTTGATAATTTTGATTTAAATGTTAAACTAATAATTATTGTTAATTAGTTATAGTGAATTGGAACCTACAATCTATTTGACATAATAAGGAGATGGATAATTTTTTGCCATAATTCCTTAAAAAATGAGATATCCAAAATATAGACCTAAAGAAAGATAATGGTATAAGGATCATATTGCTGTTCTAAATAGTACTAATCAACCAGAAGTAGTATCTGAAATATATAGAAATTATGAGACTTAAGAATTTGAATTTACTCTCACAGTTTCATTAACAAATACATAATTAGAATTTGATGGTGTTATAGCTTTAGATAGTAATTTTTAAGTAATAAAACCAAAGATCAATTATGATTAATTAAATATTTATCTGGTTGATTTGGCTGGAAGGATATTAATTTCAAATGTTTATCCTTAAGTTAATTTTGTTTAAGAAATGAAATTCTTTAATGATACTTCTATTACAGGATTTGACAATAAAGATTGGATTGAAGTTCTCAATTAGATACTTTATCAAAATGGATAATCTAATTGTCAATTTGTATATAAAAGTTTTTGTAGATATAATAAATTATTTGGATAAGATTTATTCATTAGAGGATTTGGTATTCACAATAGATTCTATTAAATAGTGTAATAATATTCAATTATATATATTTAAGATTTGTAGATTATAAATTTATGGAAGAAAATGATAATGACACTTAAGAATTAAAGTCTGAATTGTTAAGTTAAGCAACACATTAATTAATTTATTATGTTATTTATAATATATCAGGTATTTTGCTTTGTTGGATAATAATGCATTTCTCTTTGAAACCTTATTATTAATTAACTAGGTTATTTTAATAGACAACACAAACTAAATTTAATTAGAAATATGAAATTGCATTAAAGAAAGTTAAAATATTTAAGTAGAATAATCTTATTTAGACTGGATTGGATAATCTATGTAATAAGTTATCAGAAATAAGATCAAGAAAATCAAGGGAATGTCATTATATGGAGAATTACAAATATCCAAAAAATTTAGCAAAACATGCTAATAAATTTAGATTGTATATCAAATAATTTCCAAAAGTATTTTATATTCTTTATTTAGAAATCATAAATTCAATAATTATAAAGAACAATTAAATTAATTTATGATGAGATCTTATCAATTCTGGCAGTAAACTATAATGAATTCTACTATAAGTTGATATGATTAGATATTGTAGCTAATATTTTTTCAATTGAACTTACTTTTTACTTAATATTTGAATATTAAAAACAATTATAAACAATTCAAAAATATTGAGAAACAATAAATTATCTTATGGATTTATTGAACCTTGTTTAATTGGCTATTGATATATCCTTAACGAGGGATAATTATTGTGAAGAAATTAAAAAATTGAGAATAAATCTAGAAGTCTTCTGTCATACATTAAAATAATTAGATGATTCTAATTGTCCTAATTAATTCTTGAAAGAAGCAGAATAAGAAATCTAAAAGACATATGAATGGTTAAAAAATCTACCTTAAGAAGTAAGCATGTAATTTATGTTAATATATTATTTAGATTAGATAGTGTTAAGTTTCAAATTCCTTACAATAATAAAGTTGAACAAATCAAAGAGAAATGTAATTCAATATAACAATTGATTACCTTATCAACTGCTTTGAATGTTATTAAAAAATCCACTTCATAAATTCCATCTATTCCAAAACCACCTTAAACAATTCAACCAACAGTTACTTAAGTTGACGATATTTAAATAAATGAGAAACCAGAAAAATATATTGTACTGTCTGTAATTTCAGATGAACATACTAAAACTATATTTAGAAAACATGGAGTAAATTTATAAAATAAACACGCTATTAATTTCAAAGAAAATGAATCTGAAATTGTTATATGTAAGATATCAAGATAAGATTATTCTTTGCTAAAAGAAGATATTTAATAAATCAATACAATTTCATAAGATCATGCATAAATATTATGTAGAAAAATTGATAGAAAATAAAGATATCCAGAAATTAAAATAGATGAAAATAATGATTAATAAGAGTATTAATATTTTAATCAATTTAGTGTATTTTATTCTTTGGATGATAATGTTAAGGAATTATCTAAAAATATTAATGATGAATTGAAGTATGAATTCTATCTAAAAATTACTGGACGTTTGGGAGTCTTTTTATATCGAAAAAAAGAAAATATAACAGATTTTGGAAAATAAATTATACCAGACACTTGGGCCAATCGAATATAAAATACAACAATTAAATTAGAAGAAAATGATAAATTTGCTATTCTAATGAAAAAACCAGATTATAAAGTACCTTTAATTGCTTATTCAATTACATATAATGTATGAATATGATTTCTTGTCAAAAATGAATATTTTTATTAATTTTTGATCTTGTAAATTTATGTTTCTTTATTTAATTAAAATTGGATTTATATATATACACTTTAATTAGTATTATATTCATTTCAAACTATTATTTATTTGATTTTATTTTAAGGATGTCATATTGTATTCAAATTCAATACATATCAAATTATTTTTATTTGAAGTCTTAATTAAAATAGTTTATTCAATAATATTATTGATTCAAAGTTTAAAGGAATATTCTTCTTCATACTCTTATATTGATACTCATAGAATTGAATTCTAATAATTAATGATTTTTTTAATACTTGAAAATAGAATATTATTTAATATATACTTCTATAACAATTAAAACAACATATATATAATTGATTTATTCTTTTACTATATAATAGAATAGAATATTAAATAAAGTAAATCAAAATGATCTTTAAATCTCTTTAATTTGTAATAGGATTAGAATTAACAACCAAAAGCTACTTCCTGTTCTTGAGAGTTTTCTCATTTATTTAAATATGATTTTATATAAATAAATGAATGTATTTCAAATATAAATATGAAATTAGTGGATATGATTATATATACTAAAAATATTAATTAGGTTTTAATTAAAATTAACACGTTTCAAGAATGATGAGAAAAGAATTACAATTATTGATAGCTGTTGGAGGAATTTACTTCTGCTATTTCAAAGTTGGTCTTATATAGGAGGATTTGTAAATTATATAATTATTTGCAAGATTCAAGAGTAATTTTGGTACTATGGATTTTCCATCTCCAAAATTTGAGTTTTCATCTGTGTTAATATTTTTGTAAATGCTTATATACAATTTATTGTGTATGACAATGATTTTTAGAAATAAAATCAAATTTGTATGCACAATTAAGGAAGGAGCATATTTAGGATTATTAAACTTTTCATCAATGATTGGTGCATTGACTGCATTATAGTATGTAAGTTTTCCACTTTAAGCTTTGGTGAAAAGTTGCAAGTATTTATTTATGATAATTATAATTGAATTCTGTCTGTGTTAGTAGTAGGATTAGTGTTAGGAAATCAAAAATTCACAAAGTAGTAAATACTTTGTGGTTTGATAATCACAGTGGGAATATATGCATTTAATGTAAGTGAGGGAAGTAAATCCAATAAAACATCATCTATCTTTGGAATTGTTTTATTATTGACTTCTTTATTCTCTGATGGTTGTTTGGCCACATTGTAGAGCAAATTTAAAGTAAAGAAATTAGAATAATGGGAAATGGGATTCCATATTAGTCTATGGAGTTTTATTGGCTCTATTTTCTATACAATAATATAAGGTAAGTTCATATAATTCTTGAGTTACATTCAATAATATAGATAAGTTATTCCAGAAATAATGTTTTTAACAATATATTCAGTATTAGGATAAGTGTTCATCTTTTATTGTATAAGGTAAATATGATATTATTATATATTTAAGTTGTTTCTCTCCAAGAGTATTAAGTGTTGTAACAACAACAAGAAAGTTCTTTACTGTTCTCTTGTCTATAATAATTCATAATCATGAAGTTGATTAAGTATAATGGGTTGGTATAAGTTTAGTTGCTTTTGGAGTAGCATGGGAATTATTTATGGTAATAATTGTATATTCAATTTATATTAGGGAATGAGTTCTAGAATACCAGCTGAGAAGAAGAAGGATTCATATATTAAAGTACCATATGAAGATGAAAAGAAAGAAGAAGAAACTATTGGAAATAATAATTAATAGGATCATAAACATCATAATCATCATAATCATAATCATCATTGATATATATATATATAATTTGTTATTTTGATATCAATATTTTTGATTATTTTATAATTAATCAAGAAGTCTTTACATTTTAGGAGCCCATTATTTATTCAAATTACCTATTTCTTTTAATTCAGTAATTGTATTTTATTATTATGTATTTATTATTGATATTTTCTTTGCTAACTTTTCCTCATCTTCTTTAACTCTTCTAAAATGAAGAATTGAATCCTTTAAATGACATTAAATTTAATATAAACCAATTGAAGCTTCATTTATTATTGTTAACATCCATTACTTAAATGATTATATAACTAAATATAAATAAATATATACATAAATCAAAACGAGACATTGCAGTGTCTCCTTGAGTTTAATTATTCATAATATATATTAAATATAAATATTATACAAAATACTCATTAATTCAATTTAACTAATATATCACAAGAAACACCATAATGATCAGATAATTAAGTAAATTTTAAACCTTCTACAAAGAATTTCTCAACATTCACTTATTTTATTTAGAATGTATTTGGATTACTTTGATTTTCAGGAATCAATTAAAATATATAATCTAAACATTGTCCAGTCAATAAATCAGCTTTATCTGTTAATTAAATCTCTAAAGGTTTCTTTTAACCATTCTCATCTTCTACATAATCAGCATAAGTATTAAGAAACTTGCCTTCTTATTATAACAATAAATTGATGAATTTATCTTTACCATTATTTGTCATAATTGTTATTAGAGAATCATATTCTTGATATCTTTAAGGATTGCCTAATTGTTATTGTAATATTGGAAACTATTTCAATACTTCATTAGGAAATCCTTATTCATACCTGCTATCAATATTGTAATCTCCTAATAATAATATTAAATCATTCTCTTATGCCTATTACTATTATAGAGTTGAATGTACAAATTTCTTAAAACAATATAATTAATCAATTCTAGTAGAGACTGTTGCTCTCTATCTAATAAGTTGTGATTAATTACCACATTTGAATCATTACCCACATAACTAGCCTACAAATGAGTGTTGAAAATATGTAATATTTATCCATTAACTTATATTTTTGTATACAATATTCCTTTATTAGATAAATTATCAGATAAAATGCCATATGGAAATTCTTTAAAGTCATGATATAGAATTGGATATCTAATATTGATAATTAAATTATAACCTACTCAAAGTGACTAATCCACCATCTACCATTTGACTAGAAAAAAAACTAGGACTAGGACTAACTGCTTAATAAGTATATCCTAATTTGAATGCTTTATGTTTTAAAATAGATTTTCTAGAATTTAAGAATCCAAATACTTCTTATAAACATACTATATCAAAACTAATTATATATATATATAATATAATTACTTCATTAATTCTTTAATGATTAATTCACATCTTTCATTTTTATAATCATCTCCATTATTATTAACAAAGGGTGGTCTAAGAAATGTATTATAAGTTAATATTCTAATGATATCTTTTTCAGGAATTTGTTCAAAACTAAGTGGTACTTATTCAGAATTAGATGACATTTATTAATTAATTAATTAATAATTAAAAAAATACAAATAATTTTCAAAATTTTGTACAAAATAATGAACAACCTTATTTATCATGTTTTTTATTGATTTCTTTCTTAATCTAAGTTGGTAGATTACTTTAATACATTTTTTATTCTCCAATTTAATCAATAATAATTAGATTATCAAATTTTAATGATAATTCAAACACTTTCTTAATTGGAAGTATGTTTTAATTATGTAATAATTACTTAATAGATTTATATACATCTGAATCTTAAGTTTCAGCTGCAATTCCAATATCATTGTGATTTGCACCCTCTACTTTTATGAAAGCAAATAAATTCTAACAACATTTAGATAATTATTCTGAATGATTAATTTTTATTATTGTATCCTTTGTTCCATGAAAGATCAAAATAGGAGCAGTAATTTTATTAATGATGGATTAATTTGAAAATTTATCATGTTCTGAATAAAAAGAATTTCTATTGTCTATAATTCTTCCCAATGATGCTAATGGAGCTTATAGAATGATTCCAGAAAGTTAGAATTATGTTGCAACATCAACAGTTGGATAAGAACCAATAGAAAATCCCCATAAGAATATGTAATTATATTAATTTTAAGCCAGAGCTACAACATTTGAGAGATCTCTTGAAATACCCAATCTATTAAATAATAAAATAATACTCTGATGGTTTCATTGTTTTTTTTGTAATTCCATATCCTGAATAATCATAACACATTACATCAACTTAATATAATTCACAAATTTTAGCACCCCATTTAGATGCTAAGTATAAATCTATAGCATTGCTATGAGATAAGATAATTACTTTATCTGAATTACATGAATAATGAATTATAGGAACATATGATACAGTTACATTATTTTAAACTTCCTTTATGATGGAAACTCTATATTGGATATTGCATAGTTTATTTAAATCATTCCAATTACCATTAATTTCCACACTGAATTGTAAACCATTAAAATCTTAGCTATTTTTAATTTGATAATTAGGTTTGGGAGGTTAAAAAATGAGATTATGTTCAATGATTTAAGTCAAACCAAATTTATTGATTAATGACATTTTCCAAGATTCTCTAACTTGTTTATTATTGTTCTACATGTAAATTATAATAAATATATTATGTTTTATCACTTTTTTTAAGTAAAAATGTCCTTTATTACTTTAAACAATAAATCAATATTATTATTTTATTATGCTGACACTTCAATATATTGATACGATCTTTGCTTAGCCCAATTATAACCTTCATTTTCTGACATACTTCTCTTCTCCTTCTTATTACCTACAACCAATATGGGAATATTGGCTGCTCCATAATCATTGGCTTCTCTAACCCACATATCTAGAGTCTCTAATGTTTTACGAGTAGATAAATCAAAAACTAACATTATCATATTAGCATCCTTATAAAATTCATTTCTAACTTCTACAAATTCTTATTGTCCACTAAAATCCCAAAAGTTTAACTTTATATTTATATATTAAATATTTACAGATATATTTGAAGATGGTTGTACATGTTTAAAATCAACTGCTATTGTTGAATTATATTTCTCATTAAAATCTCCATTGATGTATCTGTCTAAAATTGATGTCTTACCAACAAATGGATCACCTAGTACAAGTATTTTATATTGTTCATAATTATCTTTGTTTTTGTTTATCTTGATTGTACCTGGTCTAATTTGAAAATTCAATTTACTTCGTTATTGTACGCATAATTATAAATAATCTATTGTTATATATAAATTATTATCATATATATATAGAATTTACAAAATATCAACTAATAAATAAAGTAAATTGTTTATATAAGTAAAGATGTTGTTGATGTACTCTATTTAATTATATATATTAATATGTATTTAATATAATTATCTAAATAGCTAGATAAGTTAATTAATTTTTAATTGTAAGATAAAACTTATATAGCACTATTTAGAACTTATAATCCTCCCTGTATGTAACACTAAATAAAAACAGTATTTAATTTAAATTTAACAGATTATTATAAGTAAATTTATATCATTGTTAATTTAATAAAAATTGTTTATTTTCTTGACATACTAATTAAATTATTAATGAATAAGTTGTTATTAATATTATTATGCTACTCTAATCATATTTAATTTAAAGTATAAATTTAATAATTTTTTTAATTATGTTATTTTATGATATAATGGTTTCAATTAAATTAATGTAACTAATAGTGTTAATTAATTTTAAAAAATTAAACTACTATAATTTAATTGAAATCAAATATAATGTACTTAATAGATTTAATTCTTAACTCAATTAAATAAGTGATCTAAGAATTTATATAATAAATTAAATATATATATAAGTGAATAAATATATCACTATTAAAAAATTAAAAATATTATATAATTCATCTCTTAAGATATTTTAGATTTTCTAAATTCAATATTAAACTATAATAAATATATTGTTGTATAGGTGATTTCATTTTTTGATAATTACTTATAAAAGTTTATAATTATTTATTAGATCTTTGATATTCTACAATCAAGCATTATGAATGTAANCCACATATCTAGAGTCTCTAATGTTTTACGAGTAGATAAATCAAAAACTAACATTATCATATTAGCATCCTTATAAAATTCATTTCTAACTTCTACAAATTCTTATTGTCCACTAAAATCCCAAAAGTTTAACTTTATATTTATATATTAAATATTTACAGATATATTTGAAGATGGTTGTACATGTTTAAAATCAACTGCTATTGTTGAATTATATTTCTCATTAAAATCTCCATTGATGTATCTGTCTAAAATTGATGTCTTACCAACAAATGGATCACCTAGTACAAGTATTTTATATTGTTCATAATTATCTTTGTTTTTGTTTATCTTGATTGTACCTGGTCTAATTTGAAAATTCAATTTACTTCGTTATTGTACGCATAATTATAAATAATCTATTGTTATATATAAATTATTATCATATATATATAGAATTTACAAAATATCAACTAATAAATAAAGTAAATTGTTTATATAAGTAAAGATGTTGTTGATGTACTCTATTTAATTATATATATTAATATGTATTTAATATAATTATCTAAATAGCTAGATAAGTTAATTAATTTTTAATTGTAAGATAAAACTTATATAGCACTATTTAGAACTTATAATCCTCCCTGTATGTAACACTAAATAAAAACAGTATTTAATTTAAATTTAACAGATTATTATAAGTAAATTTATATCATTGTTAATTTAATAAAAATTGTTTATTTTCTTGACATACTAATTAAATTATTAATGAATAAGTTGTTATTAATATTATTATGCTACTCTAATCATATTTAATTTAAAGTATAAATTTAATAATTTTTTTAATTATGTTATTTTATGATATAATGGTTTCAATTAAATTAATGTAACTAATAGTGTTAATTAATTTTAAAAAATTAAACTACTATAATTTAATTGAAATCAAATATAATGTACTTAATAGATTTAATTCTTAACTCAATTAAATAAGTGATCTAAGAATTTATATAATAAATTAAATATATATATAAGTGAATAAATATATCACTATTAAAAAATTAAAAATATTATATAATTCATCTCTTAAGATATTTTAGATTTTCTAAATTCAATATTAAACTATAATAAATATATTGTTGTATAGGTGATTTCATTTTTTGATAATTACTTATAAAAGTTTATAATTATTTATTAGATCTTTGATATTCTACAATCAAGCATTATGAATGTAAATATAAATCTATTTTATTTTATCTATATAATTCAAAAATGTGAATGAATCTAAATTATCTAATATGATTTATTAAAATTTGTTTATAGCATTAGTATTACATAAGTAATATAGAAAATAAGAGTAGAATACATTTCAATTACAATCCCTCTTATATGGATAATCGAATCATGATAATAAAATATTTCAGTGTTTTTGTTAAAAAATGCTTTATATAATATTAATATAAATTTTACATAAAATTAATACCTAATAAAGACAATTAAAGTAAAATTTATATAAGGAATTAAATATAAAAAAAATGAATAAAATATAATTGATTAATTGTTATGTATGACTCTCTCCATGATTATAATAAAAAAGGAATCGTTTTTAGATTAATTATATTATAACTGATAAGTACTTAAAAAAATAATATTTATTTTTTCTTTTTTAATGATTTCAGTTGTAACATTCTGATTCAATTTTATCATTCAATTTATCGAAAGTTTTGAAGAGTTTCTATACAATTTAGTACTTCGCAGTAAAATGTTTTTAGTATTTACGTAATCAAAAATTCCTCAATAATTATTAAGATTTATCAAAATCGTTTTTTTAGCATTTTTAAATCATTTTGGTTCGACGAATATTGATTTAATAAAATAAACCTAATCTCCACTCTCAACCTCTTCAAATAAATGTAATCTACCGATATTCTTGCAGTCTAATCAAGTACTTGTTAATTATAACCTAGACTTTCTATAAACTCATTGTATGTTTGCTTAACAATAAGTAACTGAATATACTTTTGAAGATGTTCAAGAGGAAATTCAAATAAGTAAGTTATTGTAAATATGATATAGTTGAGAGTGTTGAAACCTTCAATTTTGAGGAAGATGATATACATAATGATTATTACAATCCGATTTAAAAATTGCCGCTGAGGAAACCTAGAAAGAGAAGAAGAAGACAAGTAATTCATGATAAAAGAAGAAGAAAAGCAACTACAAAGAGAATTGTAATAAATTTTGTTTAATCTTTATTTTAGAATAGAAAGCATCAGCCAATTCCATTCAATTATTTAGAAGATAGATAAATACTTCTATAAGTACTAGAGTTGGGTCCAAAGTTTTATAAAATAGCCAAAAATTTTCCAGGAAGAACATTGAGTATGGTGAAGAATAGATATTATAAGACTTTGCGCTTCTAGTGGGATGTTATTTTGGGACAGTAAGAAAATTATTTAAGATTTCTAGAGCTTATGGACATCTGAATGCATAGACTGGGGAAATTGATAATTAATAAAGTGTAGATTATTTGGAGGAACTTAATGATGAAAATATCTATTCATAATTTTTATTTTGAATATTACTATAATTCTTTAGTCATTTGATAATATTCTCAATTAGGACTGGTTTTAATAAACTATTAAAAAATGAATAAAAAAAATATAAAAACACTAAAATTTCAAAAGATCTCAGATATTAGTTCATTTTATTTTTGACCACCAACATATTCATATTTTTTAAATATCATAGAGAAGAATGCTTCTCCTTAAGAAATTGAACGAATGGCAGTAGAATAACCAATAGTTTCTTATGATGGTATTGTGGCAGTAATAATGACTCGATTACTATTTTTTGAGCCTGCTCTATTTTAATCTTATTTAATTTCTATGATTTTGCCTCTTCTATGTGAAATCAAATCATTAATGATTTTTTACTATAAAGAATTAGGACAAGAGATCTCTAAATCCATAATAGGTTCAAGAATAATTGGCTAAATTATATATATATATATATACTTTAAGTAATGGATGTATTTCTGACATTAATTTTTAGACTGCTCTACCAATAGCTAAATCTGAAGTTCTTTTTACAGAGAAAGCACCATCTAATAAAGTAGCTTTAATGCCTTGCATTTGATAAGATTTCAAGAAACCTCTATTAAGTGAGGCTAAGATTGACTTCTCTAAATGATAAAACATAGGAAATTGTAATGAAGATATATGATAAGCTTTTTCTTCTCCATGATCATCAATAATTGTTTCTACTTCTATATTTTTACAAGGATTCTTAATATATTTTACTGAAGTTTCATTTTTCTAAGTAGCCACTTATCTAAGTTAGGTTTCTTTAAATTGTTTATATAGGATATCAAAATCATTTTCTCTATCAAAATCAAAAATAACTTCATTTTCTTATTATTCACTTGGTTATAATTTTAATTTCAATTTAAACCATAAAGGTCTTCCTTTAAGTAAATCTTAATATTTGATTTCCAAAACACCTTCTTCACTAATACTTTCTTTGTATTCTACTTGCAATTTCTTAAGTTTTGTGTTTAAACCAAAATCTTCTTTTAATCTTTAAACAACAATTTCAAGATGCAATTCACCTTGTCCACCTATAGTAATAAGTGTTTCATCAGCTACTGTAATCTTCAAACTCTCATCTTCCAATTATAACTATTATAGAGCCTAATCTAATTTGAGTTTGTCTTTGGCTGATTCATATTCTAAATTAGCAAAGAAAACACATTAAGGTAATTGCAATTATTGTAATACAAATCTAAATAAATAAATTAAAATAGATTATACTTATCATCATTTGATCCAATAATAGTAGAACCAGCAACAGCTTATTTTGATTGAATTGCAATAATATCACCTGCTTAAACACTATTAATAGGAACATATCTATTAGCTCTAACTCTATAGAGATTACCAATCTTTATTAATTCATCCTTTGTACTATTGAAATAATTTTATTTTTATATCATTTCACCAGAATAAATTCTAGTAAATCCAAGCAAACCCAAATCTTAATCTTATAAAACCTTATACACATATGCAGTTAATTTTTCACTCTTATCTAACTTTCTTTTATTATTTGGATTATTTATATCAAAAATCAATGGTCTCTCACTTGGTCCAGGTAATAATTAATGAACAGCATCTAATATTGGTTATACACCTCTATTTTTAAGTGCTGATCCAAAATATATAGGACAACATTGATTATAATTTGTATTAATGATCTATTTAATAGATTAAAGTAGTAATTGTTAATTTAATAATTCTTTAGAGTCTTCTAAATAGAGTTCTGCAATTGTTTCATCATATTCAGACACATTTGATAATAGATCATCTCTTGCTTTAATAGCTTTATCATAATAAGGATGAGACTTATCAATATCTCTGAATTAAACTTCTGATCCATATTTGTCTAACCAAATAATCTCTTAGAAAGATAATAAATCAATAACAGAATTGAAATAATCAATTTCTCCAACAGGAATCTACATTCTAGTATAATATATAAATAAATACATAAAAGGTTTGATATTTAATCTATCTTTCATTGATTATATTGTATATTCTAATGATGCTCCTTATCTATCCATTTTATTAACAAATGCAATTTTTGGAATATTAAATTTATTAGCTTATAACCATACTGTTTCTGATTATGTTTGAACACCAGAGACTCCATCAAAGATTGCAATGGCTCCATCTGTAAATAATTAGATATTAATAATTTGTTACCTAAAACTCTAAGAGATCTTTCTACTTCAGCAGTAAAATCAATATGTCCAGGAGTGTCTATAAGATTATATTAATGATTTGCCCAATTAAAGGATATAGCTGCAGATCTAATAGTGATTCCTCTTTGTCTTTCTTATGGCATGAAATCCATTGTAGTAGTACCATCATGAACTTCACCAGGGAATGGAATGGCTCCTGCATAAAATAACATTCTTTCTGTAGTTGTTGTTTTGCCTGCATCGATATGTGCTATAATGCCAAAATTTCTTATTTTTTCTTAAGTTGTAGTTGGTAAATTCTTCAATCTTTCAGCTCTCTCTTGATTGATTCTGTCTCGAATAGAAGAATATGTATAGATTCGCTATTTTAGACAAGTTCGAAGCATATAATTATTAAATATTTTAAAGTTTAATGAAATAAATTCAAAAAGTTAAATAAATTATGAGACTTACCATAAATAATATATTCTCATAACACTTTTAACATTATTTATGATTCCAATAATATGTATGTAAAGTATTCTTATAACAATTTTTTTGAGTTAATTCTGATGTTTGAGTATTTTCACATTAAGATGTAGTATAATTGTATTAACACACTTAAATTTGATATCCATTTTGTGAAAATCCATTAATATAGTAATTACAAAAATATTCAGGTAAATATTGACATTGTACATTTACACAAGCATTGTTATTAAGTATACATAAAAATGGATAAAAAGTACATTGATTATTATCTAATAAATTACATTTAACTTAAGTGCATTATTATTATTAATCATTCCAATCACAATAATCAACATTATAAATGCAATCTTATTTATTATATATAGATTGACAACCTGTAGCATATTTTAGAGTACATGTATTATTTTGTGAATTAATACACCATATATTCTAATCTTAACATGAACGCAATCCTGATGATAATTAAGAACAGAAATCATTATTTTCATGTGTAAATTCGTTACATTTTTCTGGACTTGATTAATTATTATAATAATTAAAACATTTCCTAGATGTTTAGCATAAATAAGGATTCAAATCTTCACATTTTATACTTTCACATTTATTCTTAGACCAATAACAATATAAATCTCTTTAACAATCACTCTCATTTGATAATTCATGACAATCACAAATCTTTTCAAATGTAACTTCTATTAACTATTAAGTCAATCCTAAAGTAATGCATAAAAAGAATATCATCTTTCTTATTTATTAGTAAATATAGAATTATTTAATTTTTTCAATTAATATATATTTTAATAGTAATGTATATTATTGTTTTTATGATTTTAAAAATAAATGATAATAATAATATATTATTATTCATTTAGAATCTGTTGGAAGCAATACTACTTTTGTTGATCCCTACTATCCTAATGTAGTAATCGTATCTAAATATCTAATTTACATAGCTGCCTTTGAATCCAATAGTTCTGCTGCTTATCGCATAAGTTTAGCTGATTACACATCTCCTTAAGCAGAAATTACTTTTGCTTAAGCTGCTCTTTATTCTTTGGCTGCCATCGATAAGGTATTCTACAAATCAGCATTCAATTATATATCCTTAATCAACATGTTTTCAATATCAATACCCCATTCCCATACATGTTCATCAACAAATTCTTCAATTTATTATTAAACTTCAGCTCTCTTCTCTAATAAATCTTATAAAGTATGAGATCCAGCAATGCTCTTAATAGTGGCTAATGTCAATTATGTAACGGCTTGATGTAAATCGTTGATATAAAATATTGATCGTCTTGGTATAACTATTCTATAATAAACAGTTGCATCTATGCTAACTAAAATATTGTCTTTAGTCATCACTTATTATCTAGGACAATCAATCATTTAAACTTTGCAATCAATTTTCTAAATTGTATCAGTGCAAGGATTAATGTAAATTAATCCAGGTTGAACTTGTTTTAAACATTATTTTTTTACCTGTCTTTATATATTTTCCAAATCGTAAATACACACCAACAAAACTTTACTCTACTTAAATATATGGATATTCAACAAAAGGATTACAAGGACAAACAGCTTTACAATTTCCACAACATTCTCCACAATTATATAAGTAAGATTAATAGGAACCACCCAAATCTAAATTCTGTTCTTAATTTTCAGGCAACTCTTCTCTTGGATGACGAGGAGCTTTGTAACCTAAGATACAAAATCAAACTACTCACTTACCAGGTGGTGGAACATTATAATCACGATGTTATTAAGGTGGAGGTTGCTATTATTGATACATAACTTAGTTTTGTTGATACATATTTTAGTTATTTTAAATAAATAAATATATATATATTAAAATAAGAAATAAATCATCTTAAACTAATTATCACTGGTCCTGAATAAAATGGAGCATATCCTAAAGGTAATTCAGAACCCTCAATAATCATATTTCTAAAAAACTATTCATGTGTTTATATGGAATATCTATAAATAATTAATTATACTATAAAATACCGTTCTTCATCATCATTAGTAGCAAATAATAATTCCATCTATAAATTTGCTTCAATCCCTCTAATAACTTCACTATCAAATCTAAATACTTAACATTATATCTCTGAAAATGTATGTCGATAAACTGTCAATTTATTCTTACCAGAATCATAACCCAAAGACCGTAATTCTTAATTACTTACCATAGCTTATTGCCATCCCTATTCATTACCCATACCAACATAACAATCATTATTTTCCTTCAATTATTACAATAATTCAGAATCTTCAATCATTAAATTTCCCTCAATAGAGTAAAAATCTAAACTTATTTTTAATGCAGTTCTAATTGCTAATGTAGCAATCTCAGATAAAATACTATCAATTCCTTTCATTTATCTTTATTCAAATAAAGTATTTGAATTTTTGTATAAATTAAATAAAACTTTTTAATTTATTCTACTCTAAAAATTGAAATCTAAATCTCCCAATGATACTTAATAAATATACAAAATAGCTCTCTATATATGATTATAAAATCCACTACTTTATACAACTTTATTTTATTGATGTAATTTCTTATTTTAAACAGGAACATCCTATATGAGATCATCCAACATACCAAATAGCTCATCATTATCTTGTTTTATTTATACTTTTGATTATTATTATTATTATTATTATTATTATTATTCTAAATTATCAATCTTATATGATGTAAATTTAGTTGATAATTTTATTAAATCTGCGAATGAATTAGGAAATGGATATTCAGAAGCATCATATCTTTTTGATAATTCAATTATTGATTTCTTATTATTCTCATTTAATTCTTAACCAAAATAATAACATAACATTTTTAAATATATCTTCTTAAATTCACTTGAAAATTCAACTGCTTCTATAATACCTGTTAATATTATTTAATTTTCCTCATAACTAGTAACTTAGAATTGATTTTATAATGTTAAAGCACTTCCAAGAAATGATCCACAATCCTTAGCATCAACCAATCTATCTATTTCTCTTGCTTCTATTCCATGACAACTTGTAGTTTCCTATGATTCTAATCCCTTAAATTAAATTACAGCATATCCTCCCTAATTTTCCAATACTTACACTATTCCCAAATACTTTCCTATTCTTATTAAATAATGACTCCACAAAGGTTGAGAACCCAATAATTTATTATATGCTTTACTCAAATAAGAATTGTAAATTGATCCTTCTGATGAATCATGAATATGTTTCGATATTTCAATAGTATTTCTAAAAGGTCTCAATGATGCAAAATAAAAAATAGGCAATCCTAATATTGGCATATATGGACTATCTAAGATACTAGATATAAGCATTATTAAAAATGTTAATGGACACACTAATAATTACAAACATGTAATAAAAGCTGCTCCCTATACTTTCTATTTCTTCACTGTCAACATCTTTTGACTAATCAACTTAAATTCATTTTTACTTTGCTATAAACCATATAAATAATCGAGATTTCATTCTTATTCCAAATCTCAAACCTATTTATACTAAAAATCCAATCAATTAACAATATGCCATTGAATAATTTGTTGTAAATGAAATAATAAAACATGTTAATTATTCAAAAAATAAATAAGTAGGATTAGAATGTATTAGACTATACAATCTAATTATAGTTGTACATTCAAATAATCTTTATGCAAAGATACCTTCAAAATTATAATCCATCATAGATATACATGCACATTCAATAACAGTATAAAATATTTTATAATATTTCACATATTATTGATATTTGAATTAGATAAACATGTAACATACATATAACGGAATAATAGCATAATAGAGTTCTTTATAATTGGAAGATGCCAATATTCCACATAAAATGATTGAAATTACATTCAATAATGTACTTAATAGATTATATAATAGATATTATCTATCTAAGCAATTCTATTTGAATATTTATTTTTAATCATCAGGTACAGAACCAAAAATATTATACATTTTAATATTTACCAAACAACCACTTACAATTATTGCAATTCTATTCTCATTTATGAATGATAATCCTAAACAGATGGCAATCAATACAATATTTAATAGTACTGTCAAATATGTACGTTTCTAACTTGATTAATATGACGATCCCATTAAAAAATTGAATTACTCTCCCACATATTCTGAACTAATTCAATTCTTATTTTTACATACAATTAAGAAAATTATCCAAATAATCCCATCCAAATAAGTATTGGTGTGAAATAGTAAATGTATCTGATTATATTTGCTATGATCATTCTATTTACATGTGTCAAAATCAAAATCAATTTTAAAAACAAACAAGCATATCTAGATCTAGAGTATGTTTCTATTTATGTAAATCCTAGTTCAACATTTTATTCTCGAGGAAACAAGAAAAAAAATACAATTGCATCTAAAATGGTCCCATCATATTTGATAGCTGAAGCAGTTCCTAAGGTTTGGGGAATAAGTATTCCAATTTACAATAAAATCTATAATCTCGTCTTTTGATATTCCTCACTTATTAAGTAATTCATGGCTATTTATAATATTGTATTGATCAAAGCCGGCACTATTAAAACAACAGCATAATTATCAATTAATTTTCCAATGATGTAGGTTTGAATTACAGATACAAGTTATATAATTACCTACTGCTTAATATAAATTCTACCTATATAATATATAACTTGGATGGTAGGTTTAATTAATGTCCTCCAAAAAGAGAGGCTAAACAAGCACGTAATAAGTAACTCCTTTTTTATGTAGTGAGAACTGGAGCAGTTTGATTCATATTTAATTAATAAAATATATTATTTGTAAGAGATATATAATACAAATGTATATTTTTTTAAATTCTATTCTTCAAGTTGTATTCAATATAGTATTCATTCCATTCTCTAAATATTGAAAAATAATAAACTAAATTTGTTACTCTAATATATACAAAATGATTATATTTCAATATTATTTGTAATTATATTATATGATGATTTTGATTGTATATGGATTTCTAAAGACTTCCTATATAATAAAACTTAAAAATTTAAAGTGTATAATACATTATTTATTTTAATATAAATTCATAAATAAACTGATAAATAAATTTTGTTTATCTGAAAAGATGAATTTAACATAGGAATATACTTATGAAAAATGTTAAAAACCTATTATATCACAATATATGATATACTTATATGATGTTTGTGGTTCAAGTTCTAAATTTTATATAAAAAAAAGAAATCAATTTAAATTTATTTTTTTTTACTATATATTATAATTAGATTAAGTTAGTTAGTTAATTATAATGTTCTTTGTAAGAAAATCAATTATTGATTGAATTCTCTTGTACTTGTTTGTAGAAGTAAAAAAATATGATAATAAAAAATACATAATCATACCGAATAATAGAAAGTTACTTAATATTAATTAAATGGAAAATATCTTTACCAACTGAACAATATTCAATTAATTTAGAATTAATACTAAAGACTGTATTAATATATACAAATAAAAAAAGATTTTATTATTATTCAATAATATAAATGCCGATGCAGTAAATTGCTAATTTCATATTAAATTTAATGTAAGATTGTGCAAACGAATAAAATTACATCAACTTCCTCTAATTAGAAAAGGATGTAGGCTCATATGATGATAACTCTTCCTTGTTACTTCACATGAGTCATGAAAATCCTTCTCTAACATAACTAATGGAATTGGATGTCACTCCCTTAAATGAATAAGGGAAGAAGATAAAGAAGAAGAAGAAGAGAGTTGACTTCCACTACAAAAAGAAGAGAAGAAACAATAAAATAACAGATATGAATAATAATAATCCATTCAATATTGAGGAAGACAAAAAAATCTTATCTCTTGTATTAGAGCATGGTCCAAAGTTTAGTGATATAGCTAAATACTTTACTGATAGAAACCAAAACGCAATAAAGAATAGATATTATAAATACCTTAGATTCAGATGGGATTAGACATTGGGAAGGTATGTTTATATATTTATTGTTTAATAGTGAGTACAGAAGACTAAATTGTAAGAGAGATACCGATAAAGTGGAGTGCAGCGATCTAACTTAAATTATAGATGAGATGAACTTTTTTCCAGAAATAACAGATTTGTTATCACAATTTGTATACAGAGTCCATTCCTATTTCAATTGATTATTAATTCTCATCTATATTTGTTTTGCAATTAGTAAACTTATGATTTTTGAATTTCTGATCCATCGAATATTGAAACCTTTGAAAAGTTAAAAAATTTGAATTTAAGCTATAAGAAAAGCATGGAGAGTATCCAATTAGTCGTATTATATAAGTTAGAAGAGTAGGAAGAAGTTAAAGTGAAATGGAGATCTGATTGGACTTAAAGTTGAGACTAGAAGAGATAAGGATAAGGTAAATTAGTTTTAGGGAGTAGTGGAGTTGGATTAAGGATTAGAAAGGAACGTGTATTGAATAAATATAAACGATTTAGGTTTTAATAAATATATACAGGATATATTATGTTATTATCAAGAAATGCTTTGGTATTTATTAATATATATATATATATTAATATATATAATATATATTATATATTTAATTATAATTATAATTATTTAATAAATGCAAGAGAAATTAATAGCTGGACTAACATCGAGTTATGGCAATTTATTAGGTCAATAATATTTGAAGTGGTTGAAGATGCCTCCTTCTTATTTAAGAGTGATGCAATCCATTGATTATAGAAAAGGGATGTATGCAGCTTAACAAATCAAGGCAAATCAATAGATAATGCTCATTTCTACAGAAAAATGTTTTACAAGTGTTGAATTCTCTGGTTGTGATACTAGGAAATCTCAAGAACTTCAGGTATGTAGTTGCAAATCAATTAGACCATAGCATCATAAATCGCTCACAAAATATGTGGTGGAAAAGTGGAATAGTAGTATTTGGTCACAGGATTGCTCAAAATTATTATGCAAATATTTGTACATCAAAAAGACCAATCACTAACTAATTCTCCATTTGCAAATATGATTTAACCTCCTAATACTCCTTTATTGTGGCCATAAACTGTGATTGATTTGATATCTTCAAGGAATTTGGCTTCTTTGATTGAAGGTACTCTCCTTCAATGTTAATCCATGTATAATGAATTACAATTGAGCAAAGTTTATGGTTTAACAGCACTTGAATTTTTGAAATTGTTCCAAGCTGTCAGAGCTTCCTTAATTTGCTTCAATCCACAGTATAAACAATATAAATATATTCTAGAAAACCAAAATACTTTGATATGCAATCAGTCTAAATACTATGTCCATTAGTTTATCAATTTGATCATTCCTTTGATCCTAATTGTTATTTAGATGGTTGTTATTTGAGTCATGAAAACATGAGTTTTGTTGATTTCAGTGCTAAAAAATAAATTGAACCAGGAGATGTAATAAATATAATCAAAATTTTTATAGAAATTAACAATTAATTATGGTAATTTGAGTAATCATGATCTATTAATGAGACATGGAATAATGGTAGATGATAATCCTTATAATGAAATGCCTATTGATTTGGATTTTACTACAGCTATTAATTATACTGAATAACTCTTTGAATAAAAATAAAAGTGGTTAAGATAAAGTGAAATCACCAATATTGAAAGATAATCCTTATACAATAACAAAATTAATGTACAATTATTATAGTAATATTTTTATCTTATATATTTAGATATCTTAGAATTTACTTTCTAACTGAATAAGAATTCTCTAAAAATCCTCTATTAGAATTCAATTCATTCCAAGAAAAAATCAGCGAAGATAATGAATTTTTGGTTAAGTAGTTTATGATTCAAAACATTAAGAATGTCTTATCCACTTATAAGCAAATATCTAAACCTATTGGTAAAGAATTGTAAGATCTTTACAAAATTCAAAAGGATGAGATGACCATACTATAAAATAATCTCACTTTTTTTAATAAATGAGTGCAAATGATAAAAATGTTAAAATTATTTATAATTAACAAATTATGAGGTAATCTAACAATGATAAGAACCTTCCTCCTCAAGGAAACTCTATTGATAAGCAATTCTATTATAATCTTCTTTCTCTTGAGAAGGCTATTATCAAAGAACCATAACTTGATGCTGTACAATAGGCCCTTGCTATGTACAGGTAATAGTTGCATATTTATCAATAGAAAGTGTGTGGAATATTTTGATAATATTCAGGATCCAATAAAATATTATTTTTTGGATAAGATTCAATAAGCTTTGAGTGAAACTAAAACGCTTATGCTTATTATCAATTCCAAATCAGAAATTGAGTCTTCCAAGACTATTAGTCCTGTCAAGAGATCTTCTATCTCAGACTTACCTCCACCTCTATTATCTGATTAATAAATTATGGATAAGAAACTCAGATCAAAATAAGTCACATTATAAATTAAATTGCATGAAGCAGCTGATTAACAATGTAAAATCTATTCATATTTATTCTAGCTGAAATGCTCAATACAATGGTCACTGATTTTACAACTAATACTACAAGTACAGATTAAAAGGTCAGGCAGGATTTAAATTAATAAGCAGACATTATATAAGCTAGAATACTTAAGAGATAGCAAAGTACGAAAATGAAAGGTTGTTCATCAATGCAAATATTGTTATGATTATTATATATAAATAATAAATAGTATTGTAATGTATTGTATACTCTTTTTAGAAATTTTTAAAAGAAATGAAGGAGAATTAGATATATAAAATTCTATATATGTAGCATGAAAATTTAAAATATTTTAATTATATAATAATCATATAATATGAATTTGTATCTATTTCTAAGCATTGTTGTAATCTACTGTTTTCCAACAGAAGATTTAGTGAAAGATTATGCTAAATTCAATATTCCTTATACTGGATAATGGTACAATATTATGATTATGAAAATTACAGGTTTTCAGGATATTTAAGAATTAATGATGATGGGAGTAAATAGTTTCACTACTTCATGTTTCCATAATAAAATCAAAATATGAGTGATGATAGTCCAGTAATATTATGGTTGAATGGAGGACCTGGATGTTCTTCTTTATATGGTGCTTTGAATGAGAATGGTCCATTTGTATTTAATTTAGGTACAAATGATTTGAGAGTCAATCCCTATTCATGGACAAATACTGTAATGAATTTGTATTAATTGTTTAGGCACATATGTTCTATTTGGAATCTCCGGCTACAGTTGGATTTTCATATGGTGATGAGCACACTAGTGACGCAAGTTCAGCTAAAGATAATTTGTAAGCAGTGATCGAATTCTTTAAAAAGTTTCCTGAACTTAGCACTCATCAATTTTATATTAGTGGAGAGAGTTATGCTGGAACATACATTCCATTATTAGCGAATGAGATCATAGAATATAATAAAAATGCTACAAAAAGAATAAATCTAATTGGATTGATGATTGGAAATGGTTGTACAGATTATACAGAATGTACAATTGAAGCAAAGAGATTTCCTATTCATAAATTTGAGTTTATGCATAGTCATCATTTAATAAGCGAGAAATTATGGGAAGAAATAGATTCTCAAAGAGATAATTGTTTCAATTCAACCACTTAATATTGTAAGGATCTCTATGCCAAAACCTAAGAGGAAATCAATCTAAGTTAGTAAGTCAAATTCCAATAATAATAATAGTGAATTTTATTACAATCCCTATAACATTTATGGAAAATGTTATCAATTGCCAATCACTAAATTTAATGGTGAAACTATTCCAAGATCCAAAATGACTCTTGATCCATTTGATAGATAACCAGGAACAGTTCCATCATGTTCTGAAGCTCAAGGATTATTTTATTACTTTACTAATCCTGAATTCGTAAAAGCTATTAATGTTGATACATCCAAATTAAAAAAAGAGTGGGAGGATTGTAGTAGTACCATTAAATACACAAAGGATCCAAGAGCCACATATTACTTATATCCAAAATTAATCAAGAGTGGAATTAGAATACTTAAATTTAGTGGAGATGTAGATGGTGTTGTACCAATTACTGGAACATTCTTTTGGTTGAATAATTTATAAAATGAAATGGGTTTAGATACACATTAATATTTTAGGTTTGCATACAATTGAACCATGGAGATCTTGGACTATTCCAGGAAATAAAAGTGGAGAAGATTAGAATGCAGGAAATGTATGGATTTTGGATGGATTGTGGTTTGTGACAATTAGAAATGCTGGACATATGGTTCCTATGGATTAACCAATGGCTGCATTAATTATGATAAATAATTTCATATACGGAATCCCATTGCCTTATTGATTTATTATTATTATCATTATTAAGTTTAAATTTAATTTAAAAAAATATAATATAATTTCAACATAATAAAATCAATTACTATCCTCAGATTTATCAACCCTAAGAGTCCATAATAAATAGCTGTGAATACTAGTAATTGAAATCCTTAAATCAGATATTGCAGTATGAGTCCAAACAAATAAAGCATTATGAATTTAGGCATAATTGAATTCGATATAATTTATATGCCAGATTGATAAATAATAAGAAATGGCACAAATATTCTAACTGAGATTGATATAGTATTTGAGATAATTATTCTTGAAGATCCAAATTGAACTGTTAATTATTAAGTATTATCTGAAAAATTAAATGATATATAAATACCTATACTTGATTGTTTAATCAATAAGCAAATTTTATACCATCACATATCTTTTGTGGCTATTGTAAAATTCACAAAGCTTTCTGTAATTCTATTGATGCTAATAAAATTACAATAAAGATACATTGCCAAATACAAGAATCGAAAGTCCATTAGGAACCATAAATTTGTAAGAATGCAAAGGCACTAAGAATACCTGCACATACAATTGTAATTCCTCTCAAATTCGAAAAATTTCAGGTATTTTTATAATAATTTCATAAAGGCCATTAATGTTTAATTGATATTACATTTCATTTATAACATTTATACCTTCTTTATTAAGTTATTAAATTTTAGTTTGTGTGGATAGTAAAAATTTATCAGCAAAAATGATTATTGAATAAATAATTTAAGTAATTCCAAACCAAATTAGAGTATCAATCTATAAATATTCTCTTTTATACTTCCTCAATAGTAAGTAAGTAAAGTATAATGGTTTTCATAAATACTGCTAAATTATCTGCTTTAGCTATAACATTGAATTTTAATGGAATAAATAATTAAACAGCAAAAGGTTAAGATGCTACATCAATTACTACAATTTTATTAAGTATTATAACATGCAAAAATTTCATAAAGAAATGCAGTCTTAGCAAAAACAATACTATAATTATAAATCGGTATTGCACCAATCACAGTGTTTATTGATTATGTTTGTTCTTAATTAGGGTCTTTTAATCTTGAATATTTTTGTTTCAAAACTATCTGTAAATAGAACAGAGTAATTTCCAATAAAAGATAAATAAAATTGTGAGTTCTCTAAATATTCATTAATGAACATATCAGAAGATTCCTAGTTCTAAGTATGATAAGACAAGTATATTTAAAGTTAAATCAAATAATCTAGTAATATTTTTATAACAAATAACCATGTTAATTGTTTGGATGCTTTATTAATCATTTAATTATTTAAATGGAGTACATCTAAAAAATGATAAGACCATTTACAGATCGTTCTAATTACTATATGTAGCAACCTAACTCATTTAAGAGGAAAGAATCAAAACACACTCATGATCCATAATAAGTTTTGTTGTATATCAAACAGATCTATTTCACTCTATAAACATAACAGGTTAAATTAAGTGTTCTGATCATTTTAGAATGTTAACATGTCTTTTCTTAATCCAAATTATTTTTCAGATATCCAATCTGATCTCAATCCAGAAATGAGAGCTTAGATGGTATACCTCTCATTATAACCTTAATAGATAGATGAAGTTCATAAGTTATGTACATCACATAAGGCTTAGAGAAGAACATTCCATTAAACCATTTATTTACTAGATGTTTATTTAAGTACAAATAGAATATTTACCGCTCAAATCGATTCCATATATAAGACATGTTATTTTATAGCTTCTAAATATGAAGAAGTATTTGATTAAGTTATATTAGATATATCCAAGTCCATTATGGAGATATACAAATGATAGAGATGAAATGTAAGAGATATTTTAAATTGAAAAAGAATTACTATCTCTAGTAGATTTTAAATTGGTTACAGCATCCTCTTATGTTTGGTTAAATTATTATTGGACAATTATTAATATAGCAGAGAAAACATAAAATTGGTTAACTTATTCTTTACTCTTGTTAGATGTTGCTGTTTATAATATCAATATTATTAAATATGAACCATCCAAAATTGCATGTGCTTCTCTATATACAAGTGCTATAATGTTGAATATATAAATGAATTGGAATAGTTTTGCATCTCAATTTGGACTTCATTTCTAACATGAGATTAAAGTAATCATAAGATTTACAAAACNATAACATTGAATTTTAATGGAATAAATAATTAAACAGCAAAAGGTTAAGATGCTACATCAATTACTACAATTTTATTAAGTATTATAACATGCAAAAATTTCATAAAGAAATGCAGTCTTAGCAAAAACAATACTATAATTATAAATCGGTATTGCACCAATCACAGTGTTTATTGATTATGTTTGTTCTTAATTAGGGTCTTTTAATCTTGAATATTTTTGTTTCAAAACTATCTGTAAATAGAACAGAGTAATTTCCAATAAAAGATAAATAAAATTGTGAGTTCTCTAAATATTCATTAATGAACATATCAGAAGATTCCTAGTTCTAAGTATGATAAGACAAGTATATTTAAAGTTAAATCAAATAATCTAGTAATATTTTTATAACAAATAACCATGTTAATTGTTTGGATGCTTTATTAATCATTTAATTATTTAAATGGAGTACATCTAAAAAATGATAAGACCATTTACAGATCGTTCTAATTACTATATGTAGCAACCTAACTCATTTAAGAGGAAAGAATCAAAACACACTCATGATCCATAATAAGTTTTGTTGTATATCAAACAGATCTATTTCACTCTATAAACATAACAGGTTAAATTAAGTGTTCTGATCATTTTAGAATGTTAACATGTCTTTTCTTAATCCAAATTATTTTTCAGATATCCAATCTGATCTCAATCCAGAAATGAGAGCTTAGATGGTATACCTCTCATTATAACCTTAATAGATAGATGAAGTTCATAAGTTATGTACATCACATAAGGCTTAGAGAAGAACATTCCATTAAACCATTTATTTACTAGATGTTTATTTAAGTACAAATAGAATATTTACCGCTCAAATCGATTCCATATATAAGACATGTTATTTTATAGCTTCTAAATATGAAGAAGTATTTGATTAAGTTATATTAGATATATCCAAGTCCATTATGGAGATATACAAATGATAGAGATGAAATGTAAGAGATATTTTAAATTGAAAAAGAATTACTATCTCTAGTAGATTTTAAATTGGTTACAGCATCCTCTTATGTTTGGTTAAATTATTATTGGACAATTATTAATATAGCAGAGAAAACATAAAATTGGTTAACTTATTCTTTACTCTTGTTAGATGTTGCTGTTTATAATATCAATATTATTAAATATGAACCATCCAAAATTGCATGTGCTTCTCTATATACAAGTGCTATAATGTTGAATATATAAATGAATTGGAATAGTTTTGCATCTCAATTTGGACTTCATTTCTAACATGAGATTAAAGTAATCATAAGATTTACAAAACTTAGGAAATATCTAATTTAATTATGATAACATTAAAAGATAGTGTAAATTAAAAAAGAGAAATTGTAAAACATATGTAATTATAGAAAGAAAGAGAACTCTTTTGAATTAGTTATTTAGTTGATAATATTTTATATTACTATTATTAATTATATACATATATATATATATTGATTAATTATAATAAATAAAATGTAAAAAATTCATAATTCTATTTTAAGATTAGGATCAATTTATTATAGATTTAGTGGATGTGGAAATTGTCATTGTTGTTAAAATAAGGATTGCAATAATAATAAAAGTAATGAATAGATACCAATTACTAAAAAGTATTCTCATTTAATCAATTACAAAGAGACTGATTAAGTTACAGAAATCTTAACAGAAGTAACTTAAAATACTGATAATAAAGAATTTGAAAAACCTAATCAACCCTTTTAAGAATTTAATAAGAAAAATATTAATAAAAGAATGTGACATTAATATATATTAAATTATTATACATATACATTTATTTAAATAACAATTATTTAAAATAAAAAATACTTAAATATATTAATTGAGATGTCTATTTAATTAAAATATTACTTGATTTATGTATAATATCTCATATTTTTCTGTGTCTTATTATATTTTAGATTGGACATAACATATCTAAATAAGTCATCATAACAGCAATACTTGCATCTTCTATTTCCAAGGTCTTTAGAAATAATAAATTAAAATACTTATTATGCAACTTAAGTAGGAACAACAAAACTAATTATAGTAAGAACAGATATAATTGTAATTATGATAAATACAAAGGTACTTATCAAGTAACCAAACAATTCAAGAAGAACTAATCCAAATCCAATAGAGACTATTAATAATATCTTCTTATTTATCAGTATAAAGTTTTAATTGGGCTTAAATTAATTTGAATTTAATTCAGTTTAAATATTACTTAATAAATCAAGTATGTTTATTGTAGATGGGAGTTCTGAGGGTTAAATTAATAGTGATTTATTTAGATGATCAAAATAAAAAAAGCTATAAAGTACAACAAATTCAAGTATTGGTAAACCTTCAACCCTATAATATTCTCTAAATGCAATTAAAAAGTTAAATCCAAAAAAGAAATAAGTAAATATTTTTGATAATTTTCCATAAATTTAAATTTTATTAATTTTTATTAATACTAAATTGAAAATAGCATTAACAATTAATCCTATCAATGAAAAAAGAATATAAAAGACTGTACCTTAGTGTTACCAATTTTATCTATAACCACTAGATATACCTCCTACTACAAATCCTATTAGGACTGTTTAAATTAATAAGCCTATACTTTATTTCTGAGCCTATTATTAGGATAAAATATTTACCAAACATCTATAATTTCTAGCAAAAGCAACAAATAGAGTGAAAAATACAGTAAGAGCCAATATAAAATAATAAACCCAATTGAATTCATAGTCCATAAATTCTCTTCTTCTCTCTTCCATCCAATTTAGATAGTCTTATCGTGTAGCATCATATGAATAATATTTTAAGAATTTCTCATATGTATAAGAGGATCCCCACCATTCTCTATCTACTTCAGATAAATATATTGAAGAGAATGACCCTATTTAATTGATTCCATAAATTAAAGTGATCCCAATAAGTTATATTATTTGTTTTACATAATATTGGAAGAGGAATGATTTTCTAGTTGATATTTGAGAATCAGGATCACTTCCTTTTGGAGAATTAATCTAAGTAGGCAAATTAGCTTATGGAACAATAGGATTCATCATAGGATCTATCTAATATACATTATTGGGATAATTAGACATTTCAAAATAATGTGGATCTGATGAATATTACATTAATTTAATTAATTATACATTTTATATCTTACCATTGTTTATAAACATAAATCAAGTAATTAAATTTATCCTACTTTCTCAGAACTAGAGTGTATTTAAAAATTTATGATGTAATGTTATCTAAACTTATTAGAATATAAAGTCATTTTTTTAAAGAATCTAAAATAATTAATAAACTATACTCTCTTGATTCTTTATATTATAAAGTATCTAAAATAGTTATCATCAAGATTGAATAGAACAACAATAATTTGAATTTACTTTATAGGAATAATGAAAGCAACATAAAGTATTTAAAGACTAGTTAAAATCTATCTATAGAAGTTTATAACTTTAATTAGTATATTTAGGTTCTTATTAACTTTTGTATATTTTAAACATATAATAGATAGGTTAGCAGTTTTATAGTCTTTTAACTCTTAGACTATTTTTTTATTCTTAATTTTGAAATTATAAACAATATAGAATTTACATTATCTATTGATTCATCTAAACAATTTAAGAATTTGATAGCAACCTTTAATGTAATAAAATAGTAAATGCTTGAGTGTAACTTAATGAGATAGAATTAGGGGCAATTTCAATATCTAAAATTCATTTTAAGAAGGTTAATAATTTAAATATTTTAATTTTATGAAATAATTGAATTTAATTAGAATTGTTTGAAATGTAATGATAATATGTATTTATGATATAATTAACTCATCATTTGGATAAGATTCCTCTCAAAATATTCTTGAGTGGACTGGCTAGATCCAAATAGGTCAAACAAACTGCAAAAACTACATCCTCTTATTGGAGAGTCTAAAAATGATAAATATTAGTATATAATACTCTTGAAGCTACTTAAGTATTGAGTACAACACTTAAGAGTGATACTGATACAACAACTACAATAACTATGAATAATGCATTTCCAGTGACAATGCTTAGAATCAATATTATTATGTATGCAATACTACTTGATATGACTATAGCAATATATCTATTGATAACACAATGAGTATCTTTAATTTATTCAATTACTTAATTTGATTAAGCTTCCTAATTGAAAAGTGCTTAAATTTTATTAATTATTTATATTCTTTGTACAATTGAAACATCTTCTGGTAATTCATTAGGATTTTTGAGTAAATGCTCATTCAATTGATTGAAATAATAGATGGAATAGATAATTATAGCTTCTGCAATAGGAAATGAACTATCTAATGATGATGCACATAATCCAACAATAAAATTAAGTGTGATTGAACCCATAATAGCAAATTTCATAAACATTGTATAATAATGTGTTATGTTGTGTTTAACAAGCATAAATTGAGCAATACTATGAGAAATGAGGATAAGTAATGTTATTATGATCCACCAAATTGTTGCTGTTGAATGTCTACCTGAACATTAATTTGCAATTCCTATAAGTACAAATCCTATTAAGATTGTTTATATATGGAATATAGCATTCTAATGTTATACCTAAAAAATATTTGATTGATTATCTTACTACTGCTCTTATTGATCTTGTTATTGGCAATCCCAAAGCTATTATGATTAATGTTGTAACAAAGAAATAGAAGGTCCATCTGAAACTATTATCATAATATCCAAAATCCACTACAATGTTTGCAAACCACTCCATCAAACCAAATAGGAACAATCCTAAGATAGTTAAGTGTTATCTTAAGATTTTCTTATAGTATTCTACAAGAAAGTTCTCTCTTGATGTCTCTGGCTCTTATTTAACAATTGTGATAGCTTCTTTAACATCATTCATTTGCACATATTATGCTGGAGGAATCACAGGATTTAAAATTGGGTATTTGACTAATTCTACTCTATTTGTAGATAACCCATTATCTGTAATATCAGTCATATCCTATTATAAAGACATTAATTTTGTTTAATTTAATATAACTAAATTCCATAATTCGATAGATGCATTTATAGATATTTTTTAATTCAAAATTGAAAGTATTTATCAGAACATCATATTTCATCAGAATGTATATAATTTTAAATACTCCTTTTAGAAATATTGTTTAAACATTATTAACAATGAATATTTATTCATGATAACCATCAATTGAGTATGTCAATTATAAATATTCATAATTCATCATTAATAATATATATGATAAATTAATATTAAGATTACTCAACATCTAGAGATACTTGAATATTAGATGAAATTCTTATACTTAAATGATCATATATTTCTTTTGGAAAATTACATTATCAACAGAATCAATCAATATGATTTTTAATTTAAAACTGAATGATAATTATAAACATATTAAATTAAGATATTCATAAGATAATAATTTAAATTTCTACTATAATTCATTTTAGAATGGCTAAATAAATAATATTTATTAAAATAATTATGGGAAATTTTTGTTCATAGTAAGAAAATGATGACTTATGTATGACCACACAACAATAGAAGTCTAATTAAGATTCATTCCATTACAGTTAAAAGCCTTTGAAAAGACTTGAAAAAAGCGAATCTGTTTACTCTGATTTGCAAGTAAGTATGTCACCATACAGTTAATTAGTGATTCAAAACATCGAATTGAACGATGCTTTAGATATGATAAATACGTAGTTATTAAGAACATTAATAAGAGTATCTTCTTTTCTTAAGAAATGTTGGAAATGCAGAAATAAATTTTACTTAATGTTCGTTTCCCTTTTATTTGTAAATTGATATAATATAAGAACACTCCATAAATGTGTACATTTGAATTAGAGAATTGTTTATATGATCTTGAATAATACATCAATTAAAAATAATTAAGTGACATTTAGCTATAATTTATCATTGCACAAATCATATTAGCAATTAATGAAATCCATAAATCTGGTTATATTTATAGAGCTTTGAATTTATCACATATTTTAATTGCAGAAGATGGATATATCAGATTAATAGGTTTTGGATTCTCTAGTAATAAGACAGTATTCATTAAAATCAATACATATGAAGAAATACGTATCTTTCCTCCAGAAGCTATGGAAATGGTATTTGATTAGAGTGGTGATTGGTGGCTATTAGGATCCTTGATATATAAATTGTTATTTGATAGTTATCCATTTGAAAATGATGAAAGAGATGTAGAAAAATTAATAAAAGATAAGAAACAAAATGTATCTAAATTTCCAAGAGAAATAGATCCTAATTTATAGAATCTAATTGAAAACCTTTTGAAATTTGATCCTCTATAGAGATTAACTAAAATCGAATTAATTATGTAACATTAATACTTTTATTAATTTGATTGGAAATTATTGAAAGATAAATAAATTTAATCACCCTTAAAAGAATGATATTATTCTTTTATTGTTATTTAAAAAATCATGAAACTCTAATTCTCTTAATTTCATTTAATATATCTAATTTTATTACTCTTTCATATTTTTTTTTAATATAATTACATTTACAAAATTATTATTCTTTTAAGTCTACTTCTAAGTGTTGATTCAAATTTTATTAGATGAATTTATCCCTTTTCTAGTAAGATACTAATTAAGTATCTTCAGATTTCTTATAAAAATTTGATTTTTTTGTATTTTTGCTATATATATGTAAAAATTTTTAATATTTGATAATTATAATTAATTGTATTAATTGATTATTATTATATTAATATAAATGATAAGAAACATCTTAATAAGAGGAAAAAATATTCCATTTATAAAAGGAGAGAATGTTTTAATTGATCATTTTAATAAAGTAGAATAGGCTAAGAAATTTACAAATTATATCCATTCTTGGGAATAGTCTAATGTTGAGATTAAATAGATAGAGGTATCTTATGTATATATGTTTGGATAAAATGTTGGTTTTGTAAATTTAATAGTTGATGCATATCTTAATGGTATAAAATTACCAGGGTTTGTATTTTTGAGAGGAGATGCAGTAGCAATTCTTTTGTTAGTCAATAAGAAGATGGTGTTGACATAACAATTTAGAGTGCCAGTTGGTAAATATACAATAGAAGCACCTGCTGGTATGATGGATGAATAGGGAGATTTTGGAGGTGTAGCTGCTAAAGAGATTAAGGAGGAAACTGGAATTAACATATAACATAATGAGATGCGTTATTTATAGGATATGTTAGTATCTCCAGGTGGAAGTGATGAAGTGATTCATTTATTTGTTGTAGAGAAGAATATGGAATAAAAATAATTAGATGAATTATGTAAGAAAACACATGGAGCAGAAGGAGAAGGAGAATAAATAAAGTTAGTGATTTAAGATTTTACATGGGAGAATGTATTAAAGACTTAGGATTCTAAATTGATAGCAGCCACAGCAGCATATTATAATCCAAAATTATGAAGGTTTTATATCAAATTTAATTATAATGTATTATACTGTCAAAACAATCACAATATAGATCTGTTTATTGAGGATTTAATGCAATAGAATTGATACAACAATTCAAATAAATTACTTAATAACACATCCAATATCCTTTGATACTACTTGACCATAAACATAATGTTGAATCATCACTTCCAGATATCAAGATATCTTATCCAAAAGATACACAATTTACAATATCATTATGATGATGTAATCTTTAATAGATTTTAAAATCATCTATATAATAATGATACAATAGAATATCATTTTTATGTGTAGCAGCAAGGAATTTCTATTTAAATGAAAAAGCAATTGATCTAACCTTCTTTTTTGTATTAACTGATTAACTTAATTCAGCTGAACTTGTATTATTATCATTTTTGATTTCCCAAATGGCTATTCCATTCTTACTTCCTGCTGCAATATATTAATTATCAACACTAAATGATATAGAATAGACAGATCCTAAAACATTAATCCAACTTCCCAATTTAATTAAATTATGAGTATGGTATAATGTAATTTTTCCATCGAAACTACTTATTCCAATATATTATTAATTTTAAGATATCACTATTGAACTAATAGCTCTTGTAAAACCCTTCAATTAAGTTATTTCTTTATATTGATTATTAAATTATTAATAAACTTTGACAATCTTCTCTTCTCCTCCTATAAGTACTTTGCCATCTGGCAATATAAGTCCTGTATATATTGGAAGTTTAGAATTAGAGATAGCATAACATTTACTATTTTGATGTAAATATACTTCTTAACCACAAGATAATATTTGATCTTATGAAGCTGAAAGATGATTGATATCAGATGAATGTTTATGATATTTAGTATTCTATTTCAATTTAAAATGAATCTCTTTAGTTATGTAATCCTATTTAACAAATTAGATGCAATCATAATATTGATCCATGAATCTAATTGCATTATCAATAGGTTTAAGTGATTATTAATCATCAGCTACTCTGCAAAGTGATTCAAATGATTATGTAATATTCTCAAGCATATTTACAATCAATTACTTGATCTAATAGAAGTAATCTCTTTTCCTTTAAAGAATTGGCATCATTTTTTTTATGTATATAAATATTTATTTGATCAAGTAAATATATCAATTTTCGATTATCCATGCAATTAATGGTCTCTCATATTGATTTCTAACATTTGTATGTAATATTCCACAAATTATAGGGAATTATACAATCCATTATTGATCATCATTTCTCTCCTATAATATAATCTATGGTTCTATTGTATATTAATCACTCAAAGCAAATTCAACAAACAAGAAATTTGAATTTTTGTTTATTTATGATATTTTTGAAAATTGTTATATCAACAATGATTTACAACTTTAATTGTATTTATTTGGAAATGATTAAGATATCATAGTAGTTATATTAAGATAATCTTATTTAATTTGATTCACCATTTATTAATTGGGTATTTCAATAAAATAGAAATAAGAATGTGAATCTGTAGTAGGTACAAAGAAGACTCTTAAATTTTTCTAATACAAATCAGCCTAATATATTTATTACATTCCTTCAATATTAGGGATTTCAATATATTTTTTATGATTAATCATAACTTATCTATGTCTTTTCAATCTTAATTATGTATTCATTTAAAGTACATTAATCTAATTATTATTATAATAATATAATACCATTAATTAATCAAAATTTGGTAATTTGACATCAAATTATATATGAGATTTCAATTCATTTTGATTAGATAATACTTTAAAATCACTATTAGCTAAAGAACCTTAATATTATTCAAATTTATTTCTTAAAAAAGGATTCTCATCTTAAAAATCACTTTCTAAATGAAATTAAAAACAATCTTCAAATAATTAATAATGATCTTTTATTCTCAAATATTCTAATTTATTTTATGTCTCAATTTTCTATTCACTTTATTATAATGCATAATAACTCTAAAATTATATAGAAATTTAATTCTCTTATTTTGGTGGACTATTATAAATTAATATTTTATTATACAAATCTTAAACTGATCTCTTTTAATAATATACAGTTTTCCTCTATTAACTTTTAGCATCATTATCTACTAATCTCCACTTGAATTTAGCTTTTTTAATTGAATCCATTACTTATTTATTGGCTACCAATTCTCCTTAATCAGAATAATGATTCTAATAATTAATTAAATTAATACTTAACTAATTTGTATTTCACTAGCATATATATCAGCATTAAATATATATTCACTCAATTTCAACAATATTCCTTATAAATTATCAAGATTATTAGTCATTATTGATTCAATAATCCATTTCTTTTCATGAAGATGATTTTCATCAACATAAATAAGAGCATAACCATTATTTAAATTTATTAATGCTGCTTCTAATCCATATTTTAATTTATAAGATAATGTATAAGGATCAGAATTAAATGATTTTTATATTTCCAATACTGTTATTTTTAATAATTCATTTATCTTTGTATCTATATCTCTTGGTTATAAAATTAAAGGTAATAATTATGAACCAATATTCCCTTAAACAATTTTCTCTAAATTTCTAATTATACAATCCTTCTCAACCAACATAGAAAATAATGGTTTATTAATTTATTCAATATCATTCTAAATTATTCCTATAAGAAAAGGAGGTTAAATCACTTTATCTAAATCATGCACATTATTAATAGAATGAAATCCAGGTATTCTATGATAATGGAAGGAGATATCAGTATTATTTTAAAAATATCCATTTATTGTTGAATTAAGTAATGTATGTTATTTACCTTTAGCTTTAAAGAAAGGCAACCAAATGTTTTATAATCCTTCTTATTTTTTATCAAATTTTTCAAAGATTTAATTAATATGTTATTAGATATTAGATTTTGTTATCTCATTCTATTATACTTCATATATGAATCTAATTTAATAAGATAAAGATTACATCTTTATATTTGGATTAATTGTAGAAACTAAGTAAATTTTACGTTATTTAATATCATTAGATGTTAATTCTAAGATAGAAGCTTCTTGTTCATTGAAAGGAGGATGCTAAATAATTATTAGAAATATTTATAATACAGAAATCAAACGAATATAGGGAGTATTAGTATTACGATGTATTTCACTTGAAAAGTATTAAAAATTGAGTTTGATTGTAAAGTTTTAAAAATATACTGGTCCATCAATAGGAGAATTAAATTGTATCTAAAATCTGTTATTGATATCTTATAGTTTATGAACTAACACGTATTCTTGACCATACAATTTTTATTTCTTTGATAAATCAATATAAATATAATAAATACAGACAAAATAGGTTGTAAAGCAGTAATATTGTTTTCAAAGTTTATAATATTGTTCTTTCCCAAATTTGCACTAAATTGTGCAATCAACAATTCTTCATCAGTTATCAATTATGATTGACTCTGTGTTGCAAAAACACGTACCATCCTCAAAGTTAATGGAGTAAAGTATTTTCTCTATCCATAATTAATTTAATTTTAAATTATCTTTTATTCATAAAAAGAATAATTTAATTGATGATAAGAAACACTCTTAAGAAAACAAAATTTTAGATTTTACAATTAAGATTTAATTGGTTTATCATTACTACATGAAATTACTAAAGAACCAAAATTATCTCCCTTTTATTATAACATTTTAATAAAATGTTACACAATATGATTTAATTTCTATTACCAAGACTCTTTATCTTGAATAATATATATTGAATGTATAATCCATCTTCTTGAATTGCATTCTTAATCTATAGAACACACAATCAATGCTGATTAATTTACATTAATTATTGTTGCTTCCTACTAAAATAATATTACATCCTTAAGATGAGTAATAGGACATTTGAAACTTTCATTTAATTCTATTACATTTTTACTTTGCCAATAAGTGATCACTTTTTCAATATCTTACTCTGGATAATGTTATACTGTAAATTAAAGATCCTCATAAACATAGAGCATTGTACTAGGATAATCATCTAATTATGTGACAGCTGGAATTTCAACCTTATTTCTTGAAGAATAAAATTATTTAGATGTATTAGGTCTAAATGATATAGTTTCCATAACTTAAGTGGGTTCAAGTAAATGAGATTCGACAGTTAAATCCTAAAAATATCTCTATAAATCCTTCATTCTTTGTACTTATGATTACTTTATTTGATGTTAAGCCAAAAAATCATAATAATCTACATTTTCCATATAGGCTTATTCAATAACACTAAGATAAAAGATGTCTTAATCTTTAAGATTGAAGTAACTTAACATTTTAGGATGAGTAATCTATATGACATTTGAATCATCACGAATTTTAAGTAAATAATCTTTGCGATTGATAATCCATATATAATTGTATTGAAACTTAGAACTAAGACCATTTCTCCATTTACGATGAAAATCTATCAAATTGTATGTTAATTTTCTAAGATCATAAATTAACTTAGATATCAATCTAACATTGTCCATTATACTAATATTTCTTGTCTTTTATATTTCTTTGAGACAATGTTCTCTACTTTAAGTTAATTGATATAATGTTTTAACAATGTTATTATTATTTTAAAAACTCTCAATTTCTTAGTGCATTAGAGTCACAGCTTAAGTTTCATGAGTTTTAAGTATATTATAAAAGTATTTTTGATGACAATCTGGAATTTGATTGTCTTTCCAAATTTATAGTAGTTGATTAAACAATTCATTATTGAAAGAGAGCATTTAAACTATGTAAACATTTATATATAATACTTTCAAGAGACTCTAGTTTATCTAACTGACGATTAGAATTTGAGATGTTGTGCATAATAAATAATTTAAATTTTAATGGTAAAACATTAAAAATAAGTCAACTCTTTTAATAACATTCACTTTTTACAATATAAATCTAATTCTAATAATGGTAAGTACTCATCTCATATTATTAATAAGATAACAATAATTATCACAAATAATCACTATTCATCTGAATTATAATTGAGTTTATATATTTATGACAGAACTAAGTGACTCCACTGAAATAAGTAATTGGGGAAGTAGAAAATAGATTTAAATCAATATATATTCAGAATTGAACCTCCTAATGAAATCATATATTAACATATTCTTTTACATATAAAATTTTATGATTATAAAAATTTTAAATCTTTACTTGTGTTTAATAGAAAGAAAATTCTAAAGGCAATTAGGAATCCCTTATTAGGAAATATTCAAAAAATGCTACTAATAATTTAAATTCTTTCATCATATTTTCAAAGATTTGATTGAAGTTGTATTTAATGATTTATATTATAAAAATATTCAGAATAATGTTGGACAGAAATTTAAACAGATGAAGAAATGATAAAGAAAATATCTATATTCTTTAGTAGTTCCTTCCATTCTAATCATAAATACAAGTATATCAAGGAGGATAATAAGATAGGATTTTTCTTATAAAGGATAAGTTTGTTTCTTTTTTAATCTATTTATTTAGTAAAATTTATTATATCTAGTATTTACATATACTGAAATTACTACTATAACTAATTTGTTTAATAAATGTGTTTCTTTAATTATATCCACAATACAGTTGTTTTAAATATCTAGTATATATTTAATAATAATGATTTATGCTCACAATTCTTAAGTAGTTTATTAATCACACACTGTTAGTATTAGTAAAATGGTTATATCAATAATATAATTATATAATATCAGTTATATTAATTTACTGGCTCCCGTCATTAATTATAATATAATTTTGCTGTTAAATTTGATGTGGCAAACTGCAAATTAGGTTCTATCGATTATTACGAATACTTATGAAAATACTCATGGAGTTGAATATTTGGAGAAGAAACCTAAGATTTAAAATTTAATTGAGGAAGAAACACGGAATAATTACAGTGAAGATGAAGATTTTAATGAGGTTGATAAAGGTATAAATAATATTAATATTAGAATTCGATCCTAATTAATGGAGTTTGAGAAATTTTGAAATGGGTAGGTATTTAGGAAATGGTAAATTTGGACATGTTTACTTAGCAAGGTAATAATAGTTTTATATCCAATTAGAGAGCGT